CATTAAGATGAAATGGTTTTGGTACAAGAATGTCCCTTTAAAAAGAGTTAGTTACTCTCAATATATAGCAGGAACCACAAATCTTTCTGTAACATAAATGCATAGCGGTCAACTGTTTTATGGGAAAATAATGCTATTGCGTGTTTATAGAAAAACCAGGAGACCGAAGATAGATTTATGTAGGTCAACCGCTATAAAATACATAGAAGTAATATTGGTGGAGTATCCCTTTAATTAATATGGCAGCTGAAAATAGCAGACGCTGCCTGGAGGTGTAACTCCCAGTAATCAAGCCAAGAAAGGACATTTATGTCGCAGTGCTGATTGAGATTAAAATATAAAAAAAATCGGTCAGATCCTGGATCTATCATATCAGGGCTTTGAACGGTTTCATAACTTGCATTTTTTGACATGAATTTACCTATCCCTGGGAGGGAGGTGTGTGTGTGATTTTATATATTATATATATATATATATATATATATATATATATATATATATATATATATATATATATATATATACACACACATATATATATATATATATACATATATATATATATACACACACACACACACACACACACACACACACGTTACTTTAGGAAGCACCAACATGCCGCATTGAAGATAACGCTTTGGTATTTACACCTTCCATTAACCAGATCGCTCATTGATTATTCTTCCACTCACTCCATATGATCAATTTATGGACATTTCTCCAAACAAGCAATCATGAATTTCAATGCGATGTAATTACTAGCTATTTCTCAAAAAATCATGGATTTATTGAACAACTCCAATAGTGTTTTGTATGCAGACTTGCTCAAATTATGTGCAGTTGTGTCTTCCCTTAGAAAAATGAGTAGCAGTGACATTGAAGGTATTATTTCCAACTGACTAAATGAAAATATCCATACCGCGGAGATTTCTAAACCTAAAATCAGACCCAAAGTAACTCCAAGGACATAGACTGAACCATCAACACCCCACTGCCTGGGTTATATGGTTATCATTAACACAGCACCAACATTGTACAGCGCTCCGGAGTTTGAAGGCGCTATAAAAATAATAAAAAATAATAACAGATTCCACATCCACATTCCAATAAATAAAAGCCACTAATGTTAAAAACAAACAAGGTGCTAGAAAAAAAGATAAAACATTTGGAGTAATATTTAGTTCTGGCAACAGCAACTTCCAGTAGGCATATAACATTGCTATTCAGTTAGCATGGATAAACATTTCTCGATCACAGAATCCAGTCATATGGTTTTAGCCTGTGTTATTAACTCCTGAAAGACAGAAGCAATTGCTCTAAACCAAAACCTAGAATTTGTGCTGTGTTTATTCCACCATAATTTAAGGGTTTCTCTTTAAGTGCCCCCTACAGATCATATAGGAACAGGAATGATTTATATGAATATCCTACATGTATATGTATCTGAATATCCTACAGGTACAAGTAAATCAAATGTTAAAAATAAAGGGGAAATAGGATTGAATTCTTTGCATTCTTTTTCACACATGCAGTGTAATTAAATATAACTAAATAGATGTAAGAGTTCAGATTGTAAAATGCCTCATATCTATGATCTAAATGTAATTAATATTAACCCTTTATCAACGCAATCCCCAATATTATGCTTACACACTAACTGTATATCTACCCTAACCTTTATCCTACGCTATCCCCTAATCCTTAAACCACATTAACCATTAAACATGGTTAACCTTAACCCAACAACTAAACCTAACCCTACCCCTAAGGAAACCTTCTGCTAATAGCAATACTGATATTAGCAAATAGGGTTCCTAGATAAAACAGTAGAGTGGTCTGTGACTGCCATCTACTGGCTGTCTTTATTATTACACGGTGATCATTGCTGGGCTTTGTCAGCTGTACAGCATCCATCACAATAGACTTCAGGGCATGCAGGAAGACCCTGTCAGGGTCTGTTCAGATCACTCAGCCCCAGTGTGCTCAATAAATGAAAGTGAATGTATGCAGTGCTCACTTTGAGTCAGTCAGAGGCAATAAATGTGCTCCAACTGACAGGGGGAAGACCAATTGATACCTGGCTCTCACTAAAGTAAGCAGGAATTTGAGCCCGCTCACACCATATTGCAGTCAATAGGATATAAATATCTGTATGCATAGCTCACTGCAAACCTCGCTTCTAGATTGGCGCAACCAGAGAGGGAGGTTTGGCACTGGAGCAAAGGCAATTCGTTACATTTTTCCATTTCCTTTTGGTACGTATACGAAGAGGGAAATGATATGGGGCAATAGAACTGTAGTGTTAGGAATACAGATATTGTAATACAAGAAATAAGCAAAACAGCACAATACAACTGGTATACAATATGATACAGACAACTACAGACTGCATGGCTTAGGACTCACGCTATTAACCTAAACAGAAGAACAGATCTTAAAGACTGCTAGGATAGAACCCCCACAAACCACAGCCTGTCCTATGCAGATATATAAATATATATGGTGCATGTTCAGGTGATCATATTATCGGATATGCTTTAACTGTACTTTATTAATTTCGAATATAAGTTAAAAAAATAAAAAATTCTGAACTCAAAGCAAGTGGTAGGTTTGTACCTATTTTATTGGCATGTGTTTAGAAATGTAAAAGCGAACAGGTAATATCTCATTTGTCTGCAATTCTCTCCTACTGCTGCTTTTACTACAAGGATGCAACAGACTAGGTCCCATATGGATTCAGTTTGATAGTCATATGCTATAGGTCCTCACTTGATTGTCACAGGCGAGCTAAAAACTAGCTTGAGCCCTTGTGGCTCTGTGTTAGAAGTGGCAATGCTACATAACGCTTGGACTGAGCCATGCAATGAGGCCAGTAAATTCAGTAAGGGAAACACTGCTCTTGGTATATTGTCCTAGTAATATAGATATTACCGGTGTATCAGGCAGTCTTGGAAGTATATAACAAAATGCTATAAGGAATAGAATTCATTATAATACTGCATGGACGCAATGCATTATAATGAATAAAATATTACAGCTTTATCATGTACCCATTTTATAAGAAGTGGGATTTACACTTTTCCATGGACAGTTTTACTCTGAAATAAGATTTTCCACTTTACCGTTTTTTGTATATACACAATAATGAGATGTAGGTGTATTCGCTATGGTCACTGTAAAATCCTGGATTAAATAGATTAATCTTCATAAGACGTTCTAGAAATCGATGGTATTTTATCAATCATATTGCTACTTTACTTCCAACTCACCATTTAGTGAACAAAGCATAGTGATTAGGTGCATTAGTAAAGCACAGAGGGTCTAAGGTAGTGCTTTGTAACCCAGCCCACCAGGTGCAAACAGTCATAGGTTTTAGAGCAAAACCGTTTCTGTTCCCTATGGTGTAGCAGGGATGGCAATTGTGCAACAAAGTCAACATTATCCTCCCGGCATCTCTGGGAGGGAACAGGAAATGTGAACAAACTGTGGTGCCAGTCGGAGAGGGGGATGCGCCCGGCAGGGGTCCCAGGGCTGAGGAACAAATGTGGAAGCCCTGCCAGTATACTTCCTCCAGTTCAAGGGGGTATGGTGGAAGGTCTGAGAGCAAGGTCAGTGCCATTTCCCATTACACAATGCAGGCATAACATTACAGATCTCACACAATAAATTATCTTTCCATTGTAAATTCAACATATTTCAACGCAATAAAATTGGAATTTAAACACAAGCCAGATTTACTTTAAAGCAGCAGTAATGCCTTTGTTTGAGTTCAGGAAGGAATGTCTTTATTAATAAATGGATTCCGTGTGACTACAGTAATGACACTACTGTACAAAGGTGTCACTGGATTCTGAGATCCAGTGCCTCTGTAAAAACCCAATATCTTCTAATGGCAATTCCGAAAGAGTTAAAATGTTTAGTGGCTCTCTAATAAATCACTATTGTTTGAGGTTGTGTGTGTCTGCATAACATGTATTTTGGTATAACAATTGGGCTTAAAGGAAGGAACACTAAACACAACCAATACGGCGCTGTGTAGTGGTTACAGTGCCAGGAGTGCTCCGGCTTTCTCTCGCTTCCACTTTGTAAGTAGTGAAACTGATTTAGAACAGTGACCTCTTACCTGAGGTCTGCCAGATGCAGCTGCCTGCCTCCACTAGTTTACACAGAGTTGGAATCACAGCAATGCAGGGCTCAGCTCAGGATAGCTAATAGAAGCTGCTGGCTCTCCATCGTACATGGATGGAGCAAGAAGTGTCAATCAGCAGACCCCAGGTAGCAAACCGTTCTAAAACGGTTTTAATACTTACAATTGGTAGGGAGCGCCACTGCACTCCTGGCACCATAACCACTATAGCCGACTGCTCACAGTGTTTCTTTAAGGCCAAGTGTCACAGACACCTGCCCACCAAGCAATAGTGATTAAAGTGTCACTAAATATTGTAACCAGTCAGACAAGCAACAGAGGAGCTTGTCTTTTTTAGGTGGCAACGTCATTTTGCTAGATATCAATACCTCTGCATCTCCATTTTGTTCTCCTCTGTTCATGATGTCTGCAGTTTGCCCATGTGGGATCCTTTTGATGGATTGTGGATTAATCAGATGAAAAAGAACTTTGCTTATTCTCCAATTACTGCCAAAGGTCACACTGCCCATACCAAAACAGTAGCTCCTACTTTTTCTTATGTATAAATAAAAAAAACATTTGGGAAAGAAATAGTGGAGCAAAAAAATATTTTGAAAAACAAAATCTGAAAAATGACAGGGAAACTTATATGACAGCAAGGCCTTAGCAAAGCTCCCTTTGAGTGAATTAGAAAATGAGGGTCTCTGGAGATTATGTGGATGCTGCTGGCTAGGCCTCAAACTAATGTTTCACAGTGTGCTTCCACTACTTTGTATAAAACAGCTTAAATTTGCAAATACATTTTTTACATTTAAACTTTTCTTTTACTCATTAAAAATAAATAGTTATTCTATCATTGTTTCTAAGTGCATTGTTTATTCACTAAACAGCTTACTGTTTAAGAAAAAAACAAACAAAAAAAAACACGATGGCAAAATCCAACAGTGCCAAGTTGTCCCAAATATTTAGGCAAAACGTTTAGAAGCCGGTTGTGAATATTACAGTTTAGTGAACAAATAGCTTAGATACGATCACGGTTCCTCAAACTAGAATACATTTTGTGGAAGCAAATATCCAAAACAGACAGTGATGTAAAATACTTGTGAGAGTTTACGTTTGTAGGTTTTTATCAAATATAAAACACAAGAACACACACAAGGACCGAGCAATATAAAAACAAGAGGCGCTTTTAATTATAAAAAATATTTTAAACTTCCCCCACACAAGTAAAGTACAATAATCTCATTCACAAAAATCCATAGCACATCAAATTCAGATTATTACATTATACTGCAGACAGTTGCAGTGCCCATTTATCTTGGCAGCGTCCATGTACACTGCCCCGTCCTGTGTTGGATGACCATCTAAGTGGGCTGTATAGTCACAATAATACACACTGGGAGCTGCCTGCAGCACACAGGGGAACAGGACATAACTTATATGAGATTATAGGACATTTAGAGGCAGGTCACTTATCACTCCACCTTTTTTTTTCCACATGACTGAGCATCGTCTCATCATACGTAAAAGCAGACAGTGTCAAAAATGACCTACAGGCAATGTAACAAAAATGAAATGCTATAAAACCTTAAAAGCGCCAGCTAAATTAAAATATAACCTTTACCTCAATACTATTTTATTGAAGGATACTGCAGATTACATTTTTTTTTTCAATTGATAGCAATATAGAATGTATTTATTTTCTTGCTATTTAACAATACTTAACTTTTTTCTCTCTCCTCACAATAAAATAATCTTAACAAAAACACAATATTTAGCAAAAAAATAAAATAATTTCACAGGCAGCTTACCCACATACCCAAATAGTAGATCCCAGCTGTTGTCGAACTATAGCTCTTAAGTTTTCACAGTCTTTTAGTTCTACAACAGATTTGAATCTACATTTGGCTATATTGGGCCTATGTTATACGTCAGGATACAGCAACACAAACATCACACTCTCTTTTAGAATAAGTACACAGTGCATCAGCTAGGAAGACAGTTGTGAAATTAAGGTCATGGTAGTGAGCTACACATGTTGAAAAACACTGCCACTCAATGGGTTAAACGTTCTGCCTACATCTAACATTTCTACCATGAAGAAGTCTTTGGAAACTAAATGCTGCATTCCATTTGCTATAGGGATGAGGTGAAGACACTTAAGGTGCTGAAAACTACCTAGAAAATATTTAATATGGACTATATTTCATTACATATTCTGCTCCAGTATAAAAAATAATCTAATTACACTTTGTGAATGACTAATGTGTATATAAGCATCACTACAGATTCCATTCAAAGTCACATATTAAAAAACTAGAGCAGCGATATATATTATATACCCTTGGAAGCCTTGATATTTGTGACTGAATTTCCCATGATGCTTTGCCAGTCTACAGTTTTCAAACATCTTGGATACCTCGTTCAGAATCACAGTTATTAGCCACAGGCCTACATTCGTCTATCTTGACCACAGAGATTACGTTTTCATGTGGTTAGATTTGTGATCCCCGTATTTCAGATAAATGCACAAGGCAATAAAGCGCATTTAAAATGGACAAAACTTAATTTCCTGCAATACACTTTTCTAGTAAAGGGTGTACACACACACACACAAACTATTGCAATGAAAGCATGTGTTTTTATTCCCTAGGCACAGAATGTGCTACTGATTGCAAACTAAAGTTAAACAGTTAAAAATTAAAAACCCAGTGGAACAGATCACTATTCGAACAGGAACTACAGGCACCAAAAAAAACACTAGAACCATCTGATGGAGTATGGAGGTGTAGACAAAGATTTACAGTTTGCAGACTCAAGTCTCAGACTTCTAAAAGGCAATATTTCTTTAGCATGACAGAGATCAACATAAATTGTGATAAGAAGGTGCCAGAGAGAAGTGTGGTTTCAGCACAAGAGTAAAATTCCTAGAGATGGGCAAGAATTCCTGGTGTGTAAAAGACTGACAAAACAAATATATTAGAACCATGGAACCCAAGTTAAGTGGTAATACTACCCTTCGTCACATGTACAATCCACATTTAAACAAATGTAATTCATTCATTTGTTTCATGCACTCTACACACATCGTAACACAATAAGCATAGTTTACATACCAATGCAACACAGAACATCACTAAAATAATGGAGACATTATAAAATACTGCAGAACACTCCTAAAAGGAATCTGCCCAGTTGTCAAAAGACAAGACTGGTAAATTGTGGTTTGGGAGTGTTCTCATTTATCCACTTGTAGTGTTTCTGACACAAACCTCCACAAATTCAAACACATTCACAGAAACAGACAGAATCCACATCCCACTCCTCCCAATGACAGACACATAACAGCACGTAAACAGAATGGCGCTACAGTCCTCTTGATAAAGGGGACAGAAGCTTGATTCAGTCTATAAGGTGAGAACGCTGGTTTGCTTTTGTATCATTGCACGGACCCGGCACTGAATCCCGTGAGATGAGAACAAAAAAGTCCCCAAAGGCTGGAGTGTAAACAAGCAAGGAGAGGAAGAGGCTTAATAATCCATTTAGGGTTTCTTTCTAAAGGTCTTTAGTGTCCGATATGGTTTGTCCACCACCATCATAAAAAAGTCTCATGTCCTCCCAAAAGTTTTATGAATCAAGGGTTGATGAGCAGTACTGAGGCCGCTCATTTCACAAGTTTGAAGAGCCATATTTGAAACAAGACTGATTGTCACCCACTCAAATTGTCTTTAGCAGCAGAAATTATGTTTAATGTGTGGGGGAAATGGCTCACCCTTGTTAGGTGAGATCGGATTTCTCCAGTAGAGGTGGGAGTGTGGGCTCATCTGCAGACATTGTTGTCTTCTAGATTCAAAATCTAGAATGAATTCTGGACAATTCAGTCTGATACATCCAAAATGAGTAGTGTCCAACCAAATAGGTTTGTCCCAAGATGTTTTCCACAGCTCATATATCTTCACAGAAACTCTATGAACAAATTCATAACCTTCTATGTTCATGCTATGGCCACTAAAAGGAAAAAAAAATAATCAACATCTTAGGGCCTTTCCATTGCCCATTTGCTGGCTACATTTCAAATTCCTGGAAAATTAAATCAGGCTTTCCCCTTCCCTTGATTGAAGGTTTTGTTGACCGATAGAGGCAGTCTGTCCAGTCCTGTAGAAAGAAATGGGCATATGTAAGTTAAATTAGACAGTCACATAAATGTAATTTAGGCTTTCGTCACTTTGTTAAAGGCATACTTGATACACTTAGTTCAGGCTAAGTTGCCCAACTACAAAGTTTAGTCAAGTACACACAGCACCCACCACTCAATTTGTGCACAAAATTAAAATTACATCTATGATTTTTCACATTGGAGGTAATAAAACATTTTAATAGCCAATAAAATAACCATTTATTGAGGGGTTTTTTGTGCCAAATGTAAGGGCTGTTCTGTTACAGTCAAGCATTTAATACAAATTGCATATATCCCATTATTTCCTGTGTGAGACTTGAGAACAAACTTGTATGAGCAGGGAATCATGCGAAAAACTAGCTCTGCCAGATGGCAACATTGATTACTCCACCTGTCTTGTGCTCACACAGCCCATTTGCCCCTTGTATGGACACCAAAACCGTTTACAGTAATTAGCATATATTAGTTGTTTGCATTAAACACAGGATGAGAGGATCTGCTGGGATTTGATTGTATGCAAAATCATTACAGTTGGTGTAATATTCCACTGAGCTAACTCAAACTATCCATTACAAATAAAATCTATTTCTTGAATGAAGATGTCCATCAGTAGCGACTCAAGCACTACTACCCCTCACTGGTGACTTTATAAAAAAATATATAGGTCTGTATGTAAACATTTTTAACAGACACGTTTCTTAATTTCTCGCCCATTTGATGTTTTACACAGACTGGCATTTTCCCATAATACACCTCACTGTTCGATATTGTATATGAAACTATTTTCTATTTATATAGTACATTTTAAATGGATGTTATCTTGCAATGGCGCATACATGTCCCAGTCAGTCTTCGATTGCTGGGAGTTAAACAGCTAGCAGTTGCTGCCCAGGAGTAAACCTAAAATACAGCTTTTATTGTTCCTGTAAAAGCCTGCAATATGGCTGGTAGAAAATAAAATGGCCAAATTAGGAAGGGCTTGCTTTTGAGAATAAGAGGTGCATTCTTACCAAACGCACGGATTAACTCTGCCTGCACAGCCCAGGTAAACTTCTTTACGAGGCAAAGTGTGGTGAGGCCGGCAAACAGCATATTGTACAGGAAGATTAAGTAAAAGTTTCCAAGCCAGTTAAAACGTCCAAAGTCACCGAGGAGATCGAATCTGGTAATACCTGTGTATGGAACATTACAATGAGGATAAGCACTGAATCAGTAAAAATAATAAAAAATAATAATGTTTTGCACAAATATTGCCTACCATCATTCATCAATTACTTTATGTCCCTTTGTACCAGAGTGTCCACATTTTTGGCTTCTCTGTGTAGCTTCCCTAATCCTACTTCTAGTTAGACTGTACAGAGTTTAGTTTTACTTCAGACATCTTTGGAGTTCAGTGTTTCCATTAATAGTAATGCAAATAGATTAATGCAAATATACATAAAAGGATATTTCAGACTTCAAATCTTTTTTTTTTCCCCCCATCTCCCAGCAACCCCCAGGCCTCACACTTCCAGAAACAATACTGAAGCTCTCTTCATTTTCTATCTCCCAGCAAATTCCAGCGACCCCCAGGCCTCACCTCCAGAACTTTGAGAAACAATACTGAAGCTCTCAATTAGTTTTTCTCAGCAGTACCCATCCAGGTTCCTACTAAATATAGAGCATGCTCTTCCAGCTGTTTGAGAGTCTCACTCAATTACTTCATCATTACTTTTATATTTCCCAATAGCTGCAACTCTCTTAACTTCTTTTAGCCATCACTTCCAAATCCCCCCCTGCTACCCCTGGTCTCAAATCCCCATTATATACTTTAGATTGTAAGCTCACAAGCTATTAAGCCAAGCACTTTGTATCAAAGAGCTTCAACTCCTAAATCTAATCTTACTGGGGCAGGGCCCTCTCTACCTTTTGTATTTGTCTGTGTATATTGTATGTTCTCTCTTAATTGTACATCGCTGCAGAATTTGTTGGTGCTTTATAAATAAAAATTTTAAAAGTTACAAATATTACTCAAACATAACTTCTATGTATCTAAAACAAATGTTACAAGACATCTGCATAGCGTTAATGAGTATTTAAACTGATTGGGGGCAGGTGGGAAGAATCACACATGTTCTTCACATAATTTAGTGAAAAATTCATTTAACGAGAACAAACAAAACAAGGAAACATGCACACTCTTTAAAACTGAATGATCAAAAGGGATGTTTTCTAAATCACAAATTGATTAAATTCTTTATATTTAGTAATATTCTTAAATATTATGCTATTAACGGAACTTAAAAAAAAAAAAAAAAAAACACACCAAAAAAAAACAACAAAACAGACAAATAAAATTCTTATTAAAACGCTTAAAAATCATTTTAAGCAATCCACCAAATGTTGGCAGATTTTCTTAAAATCTCAATATGTGCCACCACGTGGTTTAGAGCAAAGTTGTATTGGTTGATTTACAGTGGACCATAATAGTGCAATTACTGCTCTATGCATGAAAACAAATCTATTTTTCCGTGCAGTATTAGCAGTCTATTAACTGCTGTTGACTCCAGATGACCTAGCATGCAAAGCCCTTGAGGTAATTCATTCCATGTTTTTTTAATTTTTTTAATGATTTCATACATCAGTTTTTCTCACCATCGACATCGTTACATTGTGATTTCTTTATTAATATTTTATGGAGCTTTGGAGGATCTCCCCTTTATAGTTACCACATTCACACTAGTATACAAATAATAAAGAATTACACAGTACTCATTCACAGCTTCTTACTAATGCAGCTTAAACAAGTGCTACTCTTTAATCATGGATGACAAATAAGCAATTGTATTTAAGAGACATACATAGGTCAACACTCACCCAATGTCCTGGAGAAGACAGGGAGAGCAGAACTCAGTATGAGGAGAGAAACACAGTTCCCAATAATCTAGAGGAGAGATTGCAGAGTTAGTGTTCTATAATATTTCCTGTAGGTAACCCTCCATAAACACAGGATTGTAATAGAATGCTTACTTTGGTCATGGCAGTGTCCTGTTTCTGTGGCAGAAGTCTGATGAAAAGAGGAGAACTGTAAAATCCCACTACAGAGGAAGCCATCAGGTAGCTGGGCAGAGGTCAAGGTTAACAAAATCAGCAATTACTCCAGGCATCAGTTCAATTTAAAAAAATTAAATTTCATACACTAGAATTGTTTGATTAGGGAGAGACTGTATATTTAACCTAGCGCATGTGCTTCTGAAGGATACATTTGTAAACATAATATCCTGTCAATGTATTGGAAAGGTCATTGAATTCTGTAGATAGTAAAAGAGGATTAACACTTCAAAACAAAAATGATCAATGGGTGTTCTGCAGACCTAACAGGGGGGACCCTACCTGTTTGTGCAGGCACGCACCCAATTTCATCTACTATATTCTATCTTTCTACTGTAAAACCTTCAACACATATAATCCTGCATAACAGAGTATTAAACAATTAAGAATTGCCTAAAATGAGCTCATAAACAGTGTTTGACAATCTATACAAAATAGCAGAAGGATACAATATAAGGATGACTTGCATAGCTGCCCCAAAAGAACCGAAGACAGAGAAAGACACCTTGCCAAGGCGGGAGTCCTGTAAAACAGAAAATTAGGAATTAATCATCAGTTCCACATAACAGACATTTATTATGGACATTATTAGGAAGCTCTAGCGAGAGTCTCCCCACGTTTGGGGACCACAGAATTTATACAGACACAAACGAATAGCAGGGGTCCCAGGAAAGCATAACAGATTAACTATTAAATGTACACCATTTTATCAACACAAGACCAATAAAAATAAGTAAAGTGTCCGTGTGGATCAGATCTATACACCAGCTCACCAGGAGGATCACAGTATTTAACATCAAAGAGGCAGTCTAGGCACCATGACCACTACAGTATGTGGACTGCAGTGGCTGTGGTAAATAGACTGATCTTTCACGGTGTACCAGTCAAAAGGAAAGACCAAGTAATAATAAGTGTACCATCTAATAGGTAATTATCTACGAAACAGGTTTTCAAGCAGGTCTGTTAACCATACCGAATAAAATATTTTTTGGCGTATGCTGTACAGATACCCCAATCAGTGGTAATATTCAGAGTCTTTGGACTGAGAGTTTACCTGCATTCCCTTTGGCATCGCTGCTTCATCGATGAGAAGCTCCAAGACGTGGAAGCAAACAATCAGCACACAAATCCCCTGTAACGAACATGCACAAGGTTACAGGTTACCCAATAAATCCAAATATTACAAACTAGGCCCAGTGCAGAGAGACACTTACTGTGAGAGCCAGGAGTAATAACATAGCAAGAGGGTAAACAAGATTTCTCTGCCAGGGTGACGCTCGTCTCCTCATCTCTGTGGGGACAACAAATAAATAGATATAAACACAAAGGAAAAAAAAAATTAACAGCTAGTGGGATTCTTAGAGCAGGGCTTAAAGAAACACTATAGTGTTAAGAATACATAGCTGTATTCTTAAAACTATAGTGTCTCTCGGCCCACGCAAAAAAGCCACATTACACACATTTACTAGATTCCAGCGCCAATGTCCCTCGATGCTGTGCCGGGCTTTTCCTCCTCAAAAGTCAGCCGATGGTGTGCCTCTCGCACATTAGGTTTTCTCCATAGGAAAGCACTGACTCACTGCTTTCCTATTGGGATTTGCAGGATGCTGGATGTTCTAAGGTAAAGCATGAGAACATCCAGCATTGATAAATAGAGTCAAACTCTGTGGAACTGCAGGAAGCGCCTCTAGTGGCTGTCTGGTAGAGGTGTTTGTCTTCCAAGGATCTCCATTAACATGAATTATTTTTAAATGAATTTAAAGAAACACTATAGTATTAGGGAATACAAAATGTGTATTGCTAACACTTTAGCATTTTAATCCCATTGAGATTCAGCACCCCGAACTTATGATACCGGGAGGACCGTGATCCGGGCACTCAAGCAGTTCAAAGGTTTAGTAGCTCATTGTGTCCTCGCTCCTACTTGTTTCGTGAGCCATGCGCTCACTTCTTCAGGGAGAAAGGTTCGAATGGCTCATGAAACATGTAAGAGAGAGGACACATTGAACATCATGAGCTGCTTGATTGCCCAAATAACAATCCTGCTGGTAACAGATGCCGAAGTGAAGCGGTGCTAATACTCTACAGGACTGATACCCATTACAACTCAAAGTAAGGAATAGAGTTTCTAAAAGAAGATCCCCTGTGACATCACACTTTATACTCACTGTATATCATCAAAAGGGATCCCTGAGATATTTACTATCTATTCACTACGAGCTCAAGTATCACTGTGAGACACCAGCACTCACGTATGCCTGACTCAATATACTTATATATTTAAAACTTTTGTGGACAGAGATTATAGGTAACATTTTATGCTGTTGTGAGCCTTTCCCTATATAGGACGTGCCATGTAAAAGAAAAATCTCAGGCACTCACTGTGATTGTATCCAGGCAGATTTATTTGCAACGTTTCGACCAGTCAAGGTCTTTACCAAGCATGATAGCACCCTGGATTGTTATATTGTGCCTGAGTGCGACCCTATCTTTTTTTCAGTGCCATGTAAAAGTGTCCTTACCAAGTGTTATCCTATGGCTCTGTATGGCAAGAAGTCTTTTCTGCAATGCCTCCATGTTGAGGTTCAGCCAGCAGGATGCTTTAGCTGTGAAAAGGACATTAAAACTCTGAGTGGGGAGAATCAAGGTAAAGATCAAGCAGAATTACCACCGACAGGAAACGTTCACTTACCAGATATCTTGCGTGATAGGGCAGCTTCTTCAAATGCTGTGCAGCTCAGGTGTTCCTCCAAGTTCTCAAGAAGCTACAGACCATGAAATGCAATTTTTTAAATTACAGCAATGATGACTGGAAAATATTTTTTTTTTCTTTTCTCTTTTTATTAATTTTATAAATGGCAGGAAAACCATACAGATCATAAAATACACATTAGGGAATACTTACCAAAGTGTCACAGTACAAAGTCTTTTAGGTTAATAACACTTTTTTGCTAACTAACAATTTTTGGTAGCACAAGAGATTTTTCAGTCAATACTACCACTTTTCTCTTTTGGCATACACTTTGTAAACCAACATATCTTTGTATGGAGCAAAATAATCATGGAAAATACACAGGACTAGTTCTACACTGGTTGTCTTGTGATATCTTTCAGTGTTCTGATTAACTGTTGAAAGTTTCTTACAGAACAGAATTTACAGATTACATGCTCAATACAAAATGAAATGGTCATAGTTTACACTAACAAGTTAAAAACTGAGAAGACCACATCACAGTAGCAGGTTTCCCATCTATAGGAAACATAGCGAACAAACGCAGAATCAACCGAGCATAATGCCAGGCATGTAATTATTAACATACTGGAGCAGTAGGTGAATGAGCTTGCAAACTGAAAGGATGAAGGAGAAATACACAAAGGGAATTAAAAGGGACACTATAGGCATTCACACAAATTCAGCTCATTGGAGGGGTCTGTGTACAGTGTCCCTATTGCACTTAGTGCTGCAATGTAAAATATTGCAGTTTTAGAGGAACACTGCAGCACTAAGGCAGTCACTAGAGGCACTTATGGAATGTTACTGGACTTTTGGTCCAGCTTTAGTCATTTCCCCATCGGAAAGAATTGATTCAATGCTTTCGTATGATGAAGGTCTAATGCATGCGCTGCACATGCGCACTATAGTATCCCTTTAAATGATCTGTATGTCCCTAAGGGATGGGGTACAAAATATGTCACTTTAAAGGACTACTATAGGCACCCAGACCACTTCAGCTCAATGAAGTGGTCTGGGTGCCAGGTCCATCTAGGGTTAACCCTGCAGCTGTAAACATAGCACTTTCAGAGAAACTGCTAGGTTTACATTCGGGTTAATCCAGCCTCTAGTGGCTGTCTCATTGACAGCCACTAGAGGCGCTTCCGCGCTTCTCACTGTGATTTTCCCCGTGAGAAGATGCTGCCGTCCATAGGAAAGCATTGAGAAATGCTTTCCTATGGAATGATTGAATGCGCATGCGGCTCCTGCCACGCATTCGTATTCGGCGGATGACGTCGGAAGAGGGAGGAGAGTCCCCAGCGCTGGAGAAAGGCAAGCGTTTAACCCCTTCGGCCCGGCGGGAGTGGGACCCAGAGGGTGGAGGGGAACCAAAGACCCTATAGTGCCAGGAAAACAAGTTTGTTTTCCTGGCACTATAGTGGTCCTTTAATCACTTCAATACAAACATAGACTATACTTTTTTACTTTCATGTATTTTGCAGTATGAAATCTAGTCTATAAAGCCTCATTCACTCACTCACTCATTTATACTCTATATAGTTATTACCAGCTTTTAGAGGAAAAAATTTATCTGCCAGAAACCACTAGTCACTGACATAATGAATGTAAAGTTGCTGAAAATGCAAGATCACTCCCTGCTTTTAAATAGTACAGAAAGTTACATTATGTGAGATCATTCTGACAGTCAGCAAGGAGGTAGGAGTGAATTGACTACCATTTCACGGTCAGTATTAAATTACAGTTTGATAAAGATTGCTACAGCATTATTTGAGAAATATGTGCTTTAACTGTATTTACTGTATGGGCATTATGCTCAAGCCCTTAGTCACCCCCCCCACCCAAATAAAATTAAATGAATCTCTACCTATCACCCTCCCCCTAAAAATAATGAGGGGGTGGGGATGGGGAGACAAAAAAAAAAAAACCCCAATAATAATACCCGAACTTATCAAATAAAAAAAAACAAAACAGAGCAAAAAAAAAAAAACCTGACGCTAAATATGTATCCATCTTAACCCGGCGCAGGCTGAGTTCCGCAGGGCGGGGAAAGGCCTATAAAACCTTCCCACGTCCTGCAATTTAACTCAGAGCACTCTGATTGGTTGGCTTGGAATCCAACCAGAGTGCTAGTCATTTTACACAGCGTGGGAAAGTTCTTTGGAATTTTCCCATGCTGTGTAAAATGACTCAGAGCACTCTCATTGGTTGGATTCAGTCTGCACTGTGCCCTCGCCAGGTGAAGGATTATTATTATTTTTTTTATTGTCTCCCCCTCATTTTTAGGATGAGGGGGATAGGTAGGGATTGATTTAATTTTATTAGGGTGGGGGTGGGGGGGTAACAGGGTATTTTTATAGGGGACCCCTAGTCACAGGGAAGGGGGGGGACACAATAGCCCCCTCCCATAATAGGTCCCGAGTTCAGTTTAATAGCCCTCACCCATACTCACTGTTTAAAAGATATTTCCCTACTCGCGATATAGCGAGTACAGGCAGAATATACTAATACCAAGTAATCTTTACTTAGTATTAGTAAATTTGGCTGAAATACCAATTTAGGTCTTTCAGCCTTTTGGTAGATAACTCCCTAATACCGTGGGAATTAGGGAGTTATCTACTAAGCGGCTGCAAGATTCAGCCACGGCACGAATAGGATTGGAGTTTCATTTATTCGAATGAAATTCCAATACGAACAAAGTCCCGAATTGCGTCCTAACACGAATGGAGAAACTGTCCTCATTCGAAAATTCCGAAATTCTGTAGTTTCGACTGTGTTCTGTCTAAAAGACAGGACGTTCGGGTATACTGACAGGAAGCATCGCAAGATCACGGAGGATTTGTGGGAAAATTTCTCTGACCACAGGAAACTGAGCACTCTTTGCTCCTCCGCTGGTCAGGCGTAGAAAACCTCCATAAGACAAAGTAGTCCCTACTTTGTCTTATGTTTTAAAGAAAACTAGATCAGACAGGAAGAAAAGAAGAACACATCCTGACAGAGGAAGTGATCAAATAAAGGTAAGTTCGGCATGACAGTGCCGTTTTAAGAGTTCCCTCTCTACATACCTCAAAACAGAATGCACCTCTCATGGTTGATTATATATTTCCTACCTGGTTCTATGTTAAATTTTGTATATTTTGTGTATTAATATTGTTTTGGATTTTATTGTACCAATGTTTTGTGGACCCAGGACATACTTAACCCCTTAAGGACCAAACTTCTGGAATAAAAGGGAATCATGACATGTCACACATGTCATGTGTCCTTAAGGGGTTAAAAAAGGGGGGAAATCTCAATGTATTTTTCCTGGTAAAATATTTTATAAATAATAAATAATATTTTTTTTTATTCAAAAAGTGCTCTGTAGTGAATGGCTTAACATATGTAGATCCCAAAAATAAAATATACTTTTCAGATCAAGTGAATAAATTTCCCCTTATATATTTATAGAATGACTACGTAGCTTATTTTTTGATCTTAAAAGTCTAATACTTTTTGTTCCTTGTTAAATTACATTAGGCATCGTATTGGTCTATTACCTCTGCTGGATTTGAAATATTTGCATGTACAAATGATTGTTAGAATCACTCCTCATGGCCATAAGATGTATTCTTGTTTTAGCAAACTTTAGTGTTTTTATTAGCAAAATGAAAGAAAATTTCTTACCCGAGGTTTGACAAGAAGCTTTCCAGTGACTGAAAACATCCGAGACAAGCCGAAAGGTGTGCACACTGTAGTGGAGTGAATAGCATGGAAATGGTCAAGTATCACAAAGCGAATGAGGAACACAATTATATAATAAATAGTGCAAATAGAACAATTGTGGCTGCATCGCTGGTAACTTTAGTTTGTCAAAGCATATTAAAAATACAAGAATGGACAACTGGCTAATCGAAAATAACAACTGGCTAGATAATTTATACTAAAAACCTACAGCATGTTAAAATCTATGGAAACACAAAGAGTTTAGCACTAAATGCTAACCATTTACAGTGTTGATTACAAGTAATTCTGACCCCAGGTGGCAGTAAATAGTAACTGCACCATTAAGTGAAGACAAACTTACACAACAGAAGCAGGACTCCAAAGAGTGATATGCCAGAATAGAGGTATGGGAGGTAGTATTCCCAGAGATCTGAAAAAGACAAGTAAGAATTTTTAATGCAATTTAAGGAATAGGTCAATCATGCTTATATATACACACAGATCAGACAACATTAAAAAAAAACAAAAAAACACATCTGTCTAATATGATGTAGGTCCCTCATGTGCTGCCAAAACAGCTCTGATGCATCGAGGCATGGGCTCCACAAGACCTTTGCATGTGTCCTGTGGCTTCTGGCACCAAGACATTAGCAGGAGATCCTTTAAGTCCTGCAAGTTGTGAGTTGGGGCCTCCATGGTACAGAGTTGTTGTTCCAGCACATCCCACAGATGCTCAGATTGAGATCTGAGGAACTTGGAGGCCACAGCAACACCTTTGTCATGGTTCTCAAACCATTCCGGAGCTATTTTTGCAGTGTAGCAGGGTGCATTATCTTGCTGAAAGAAGCCACTGCTATCAGGAAACACCACTGCCGTAAAGGGCTTTACGTGGTCTGCAACAATCTCTAGGTAGATGGTATGTGTCAAAGTAACATCCACATGAATGCCAGGATCCAAGGTTTCCCAGCAGAACATTGCCCAGAGAAGAAAAAAACAAACAAAAAAAAACACATCTGCAGCCTATCAACCATAGTACATCCTGCTGCAATCTATTTTGGTGGTGGACACTATGATGCAGTTACAAGGTACCATACGCAGCAAACTGCAATGTGTGTTCTGACACCGTTCTATCATGGTCAGCATTACGTTTTTCAGCAATTTGAGCTACAGTAGCTCTTCAGATAAGACAGGCTAGGCTTTGCTTCCCACATACATCAATGATCCTGGGCACCCACGACCTTGACGCCAATTCAATAGTTGTCCTTCCTTTCACCACTTTTGGTAGGTACTAACCACTGCATACCAGGAATACTCCCACAAAACTTTTTTTGGAGATGCTCAGACCCAGTCGTCTAGCAATCATTATCTGGCCCTTATCGAATTCACTCAGATCATGTCACTTCAGGGACATCATGGAACAACCCCAGTCAGCATCACAGAAGCGCATCAGTAGAAGCCCTCAAGCGGAGCTGCAGGCTCTAGAGCACTTCAGCAGCACTCTCTGCATGGTTTGTGCTGGGGGCCATCCAGAGAGACTGTCAGTTAGCCTAGCATGCTGGTCACCAGTCTGGCATGCCACTTAAGTCACCAAAAAGCCCATTATTGGCATCATCATGTACACAAGTGTTTTCTTCCCCCCTCTTCCTTTTTCATACTATATCAATAGAAGATAAACCAGACTCTAAATACACATACAATGCAAAAAATTCAAAGATCCATTTCACATTTCATACCATAGAGAGATTCGCGTCCAGCCGAATCATCATCAATTATTGCAGATGCCACCCAGACAATGCCGAAGACGAGAAGCGTAAGAAGCAGTAAAACCACAGAGGTCTCATAGACCCTGGACATGACTCCCTGCAAAGAAGGAATGTATAAAAAGTTAAAAAAAAAAAACAAGTTAATCAGATATTCAATATAACCTGAACCATTTGAGGACTTGCATTTAGGGACCTACTTTAATTCTAATAAGGCAGAGTAAGCACCTGCTTACAGGCACATAAGGACCTCACATACCTACTCTGCCCGTTAAAAGTCACCCCGACATCTGACTGCAGTGCCTGAATCTAAGCTGCAAGAACATTTGTTGAGATCGCAGTGTTAAGTCTGAGGGATCAGCGAGTTCCGCATGGCCTGACTGCCTCAAGAGTAGAAGAATATTATGCATGACAGGTACACACTACATTTTATTTAACAATTCATTATATTTAAAAAGCGAGAATTTTGTGCCAACAAGCACCCTTTATATAACTCCGTCCCTTGCTTCTATTTCTAGAGCCAATTCTGGGATTTTATTTTTATTGGTTACCTTAAGGAACTGTGGTTTATGAAAGTTCTGTAGTTTATAGAACTGACACACTGTGCAGTTTTCCTACAAACTATTTGAGCTATTTTCTCCTTACATGCAACTTCTGTTCCTTAAAGGACCACTCTAGGCACCCAGACCACTTCAGCTTAATGAAGTGGTCTGGGTGCCAGGTCCAGCTAGGGTTAACCCATTTTTTAATAAACATAGCAGTTTCAGAGAAACTGCTATGTTTATGAATGTGTTAAGCCTTCCCCCTAATCCTCTAGTGGCTGTCTCATTGACAGCCACTAGAGGCGCTTGCATGCTTCTCACTGTGATTTTCACAGTGAGAGCACGCAAGCGTCCATAGGAAAGCATTGTAAATGCTTTCCTATGCGACGGGCTGAATGTGCGCGCAGCTCTTGCCGCGCGTGCGCATTCAGCCCAGGAGGAGGATCGGAGGAGGAGAGAAGGAGAGAAGGAGGAGAGCTCTCCACCCAGCGCTGGAAAAAGGTAAGTTTTTAACCCTTTCCCCCTTCCAGAGCCGGGCGGGAGGGGGTCCCTGAGGGTGGGGGCACCCTCAGGGCACTATAGTGCCAGGAAAACGAGTATGTTTTCCTGGCACTATAGTGGTCCTTTAAGCTTTTTTCAAGTTGGTAAGAATTTATTGAAAGTTCCTGAAAAACGCACTATTGTTCTCCAGACTTCACAAATTGAGCACTATGAAAGATTTAGTGGTGTAAAAACTAATAAAATATTTTGAATTATTCCCAGAGAGGGAGAAACAAAGGACTGGATGAGTGTCCACAATAAATAATTTGGCATGTAAAGAAATGAACATAAATCTTACTGCAGAAATATATTCTGATGGGTTTGAACAGTGTAAATTCAAACAGACACTTTAATAGCTTTGTACCTTTTTAGATCCAGCAAATCCTTCAGCTTCTGTGAAAAGATAGGCGAATGGCATCAAGAAGACTAGAGATAGGTTGGAGAACAGGAACACCAGATTCCACAGACCTAAAGGAGATCAGCAATTAAGAGTTACATACACAGACAGGATGTTCATACACAGACATCTACCAGATGCAAGCAGCATTCTTATAAAAAGTAAAAATAAAAAAAATTATTGAATCCAAAATACAAACATGTATTTACATCAGAGTTTACTCCTGCTGTTTAAATTTAACCTCCTTCCCCTTAAGCCTTACATATTTACTGCACTGCATTGTTTAGAAACCTCTTCTAACATAGCTAATAATGGAAACAACAGCTTATTGTCTTAATGACCCATTTATTGATATATTAGAAGAAAGAATAACCCGCCTTGCAATTTACTTCCAAACACCAGACTTGCCAGTCCTCTGGTTTGTAGCAATACCTTGCTCCACATTACATCAATATGCAGAGTGCTTGGATATTTGGGACAAAATCAGGGGAATTAATCAGAACAGTAAAAAGTAAACCGGACATGGCCAAAAAAAAAAAAAAAAATTAACCTATCATCCAGATATTTCTGCTTGTTTTTACAGGTGGTAAGAGGGAATCTGCCACATGGACATTAAGAGGTCAGACATTGAGCAGACATACAATTTTGGAATCATTTTATATCAATATCAGTATTAATATAGTCAAGTGTCAGTACAAGGTCTGCATCTGTCAGTGCAAAAAAGGCAAAAGTGAATAAATTAAAAAACAGAAGGCTCAGATTAGTGGCTCATTTTTAAGAGTAACCCAATGTTTCCAAGCACACGCACACTGGTGCAGATTTTGCTGACAGATAAATAGAAGCCGTTTCATAGGTACTTACCATGTATGAGGGAGCCATTCAGCCACTGGATGTAGTAATTGTGCGGCATGGAGAGTAGAATTTCATTACTGATGATGGAGAATGGCAGGAGTAGCACAGCACCCACGGACACAGCAAGAGTGAAAGTGCACATCCAGAGTCTAGAACAAAGCAAACATGCCTATTAAACACAAATAGTAACATCACGTAGAGACCTGTCAGCAATAACTTCTGAACTGCAAATATTAAATAATGTAAAAAGTATTATTAATTATTATTGCATATGGGTCAGAACAGACATCCTGATGAAGGACTTTGCATGCACCTACAAACACAGGCAAATCAAGAGGGAATGTCACAAAGTAGTTCAAGCAGACGTTTTAAAGTCAGAATAGGTCATCGTCTAACACGAGTTAAGTCACTAGCAACAGCATCCTCCCAGCTGTTTATCTACGGTTGCATCCATTACAATATTCAATTTTGAGTGTCTGCTGATTTAATTTTTAATACAGTTTTGTATAAAACTCAATGTATTTATCTTTGGCTCAATATGACAAGTTAGCAGCTCAATTTCTACATCTACTACTGTGTAGCTGCTTTTCCTCAATATCATTACAATGTTGCACTGCCATGCACCATGCTTCAAGTATACAATTCTATTGCTTAGTTATACAATGTGACAATTCAAAACTGCAATGTTTTCTGTAAATTAAGACAAGCTAGTAGAGTTTGAGGATCCAACCTGATTTTCTCTCAACTCCCTTAGGATACTATGTTTGTTAAAGCGGCACTGTCATGGCCGAATCTCAATTTTTAACCCCCCTCCTGACTCCACAACATCTAATTGCCCCCCCCCCCAGTTATCCCCAAATGCCCCTAATACCCCCATATTACCTATGTTTTCATCTTCATTTTATGCCCAGACCTAGGTCCTTGGCTCCACCATCTTTGTGTGGGCAGATGAAGTCCCCGAGGGACACGTCATCTGCCCACACTAGATAGCGCTATGAAATTTCCATGCATGCACAGTTAAACACTTGGGCATTTGCTATAGTCTGAAATTCGGACAGGAATTTCGTATATTCATTTATTCGTCAGAAAGATGAATGAATAGAAATTTCAGATGAACAAACAACAAATGTCAATGTTCGTTTGCTTAGTTTATTACAAGGAGGGAACTACCAGCGCACAGCTACCTCCTTGTAATATGTAAAAATAGAAGCGGCAGGGAACAGTGCTATTCAACTAAATAAGGGACATAGGGTCCCCCTTGGCCACCACCCATGAGTGGCAGGTGGGGGCCATAAAATACAATGGGGGGGGGGGTGAGGGGGATACCTATTGTTTCCCCCCACCCATGGGCAACGGGTGGGGCCTAAATGGAGAAAAAAAAAAAATACACCCCTGTCAGGATTTTATTTTGGGGCATTTTTTTGCGCTCTGCTCTTTTATTTTAGTTCAACAGACTTAATGGTATTTAGTTTTATTGTGTGTCCCCCACCCCCACTATTTTTCAGGTGAGGGTGGTAGGTAGGGGCTTTTAGTTTATTTTTTGGGTGGGATGTGACTAGGGGCTTGGGGACCCCTAGTCACCTGGGAAGGAAGGTATTTTTTTTTAGGCCACCACCCCCATTGTCTTTTAGGGTCCTCACCCTCCGCTCATGGGGAACCCTATGCCCCTCGTTTAATTAGCCCCAACTAGCGGCATAGCGAGTAGGGGCAGATTAAATACGAATACAAAGTAATCTTTAATTAGTATTAGTAAAGTTGGCTGAAAAAACAATTTAGGTCTTTCATTCTTTTGGTAGATAGCTCCCTAATAACATGGGAATTAGTGAGTCATCTACTAAGCATCAGCACGGATCGAAATTTCATTCATTTTAATGAAATTTCATACCGAACTAAAAGTGTCGTCCTAACATGATTGAACAAATTGTTCTCATTCTTTTAGGATGCCGGAGAAACTACCGAATTTCATCATGTTTAAATGACAGGAAGTTAAGGAATATTTAAGGCAGGCATCGTAAGGTCACGGAGCACAGGGTGAGTATTGTGGAAACATTGCTGTGACCCAAAAACTTTGTCTTATGTTTGAAGAAAACTAGATCAGATAGGGGGGGGGGGAAAAAACAGATCCCGAAAGAGAGAGAGAGAGAAAAGAGGAATCAATTGGAGAACGTTTGAGAGTGCCACTTTAAAAAAAGCCGGTTGCCAAAAGAAGTCTTTCTAGAAGTCTTGGCCCCTGTGGTCTGTCAAATCGTGACTTACAGTTTTATTAAGCACCCTTGATACAATGCATACAGTATGTGGTTTAACACATTATAAGACAGTGCGCTTGCACATATCTTGCTGATGACCAAATCAATCTGAGCCTTATGTGGAACGTGAGACATGCCCATCTCTTTTTTTTTTTTGTATCACTTTAGGCAAGCTACATTTTTGTGACCTTTTAATAAAATCAGTGTATCATGACTGGTGTGACCTATACCAGCTAAACCAGAAAAGTGAACTGGAATGAGTCATTAATAAAAAGCTTTCCATAATTATACTTGTGTTAGGTGCAGTTCACGTTTAGGTCATATACAAGAAAGCCAAATTGTTTGATTGAAAGCACCCTTTAAAGGTTTAATCCAACTTCTGCTTTTAGAAGAAGTCATGGTGCAAGCAAACTGTGTGTGCAGCGTTTCTGCTTGAAACATGGCCTATACAAAAAAGTCTTTGCAGGGGGTATAACTAGACGCAATCAAACAAGACTTAGTCAGGAACTCTGTTCCATGGGAGTTCAGTACAAAAAAAAAAAAAAATATGTTCATCAGAACACCGTGCAGCTGGCAATGGATATGACCAGCTTCTTCACTCGCAGGCAGCGCTGTAGAAGTTGTAGCACTCCCGAACATGTTCAGCTGTCTCTGTAAAAGAACAAGGACGTGGGCGGTCATTCTCTTTACTTATTTTGCCTGCTTGAAAATATTTCACCAATGATGGCAAACCCTCGACACCACACTAGCGTCACTGACTGTATCTGAATGGAGTGATGCCAATCACTCCTAGCAGCACCAGCTGAGGAGTTTCCATAGCAACTGCAGTGCCTGGGATGTGGTTGCTATGGTTAGAGAGCATAAGAATCGCCTGTGGGAGGACTTGTCTGTTCTCCTTTAACAATCAATTCCTCAGCATAGAGTCTACGCCGAAGAACTGAATGATAGGTGGGAGAAAAATCTATTTTTAAATACGTTTTTCTCCCAATCTATACAATTTGCCAGCAAAATGCTTGCACAATGTTCAAGATGAAATTTCAGCAAAAAGTAGGGTTGGGCATGACAAGTTCCCTTTAAAGGAGAACTGTCAATTCTATGGTCGTTACTACACAGCAGGGCAATGGAGAAAGAGAAACACTGCTTAATTTCTCCTCTTCTCTTCATTCTTTATCTATGCTGACTGTCAGATGCAAAGGACAGATTATTTAAAGGACCACTATAGTGCCAGGAAAACATACTTGTTTTCCTGGCACTATAGTGCCCTGAGCGTGCCCCCACCCTCAGGGACCCCCTCCCGCCAGGCTCTGGGGAGAGGAAGGGGTTAAACATACTTCTTTCTCCAGTTCCAGGCGGGGAGCACTCCTTCTCTCTGGCTGAATGCGCAGGAGCTGCGCGCGCAGCCAGCCTCATAGGAAAGCATTCATAATGCTTTCCTATGGACGCTTGCGTCTTCTCACTGTGATTTTCACAGTGAGAAGCACGCAAGCGCCTCTAGCGGCTGTCAAGAGACAGCCACTAGAGGCTGGATTAACCAATTTATAAGCATAGCAGTTTCTCTGAAACTGCTATTTTTATTTTTTTTAAAAAGGGTTAACCCTAGCTGGACCAGGCACCCAGACCACTTCATTAAGCGTCGTTTCATGGAGTCAAACTCTTGAAAGACCAGGAAGCGCCTGTTGTCGCTGTCTGGTAGACAGCCACTGAAAGTAGTTTTGAGCACTGCAATGTAAACACTACAGTTTCTCTAAACCTGCAATGTTTACATTGAAGGGCTAAGAGGGACAGGGACACGGTCAATGAGGTGAAGTGAGATGGGTGCCTATAGTATCCCTTTAAGGACCATTACTTTTTGAATATATGTCATTGTTACAATCCATTCTTTAATGATATTCAAAACGAGAAAAACTTCAGCCTGCAGTACCATGGTTGACCACAAAGTGTCACCTCATCACAACTCAAACGGGATGCCAGACAGCTCCGACTGACTACACAGTAAATGGCAAAGCATCCACATTACAAAAGTCACGATCAAAAAACAAAAAGTGTATCTGACATTTTGGCCTCAAATAAAATTATACATCAATGTAGCATAAATGTTAGAATCTAAGTACAGTATAAAGAATTTAAAAAAAACGCAAACTCTGCAATAGGATTCCTACATAACAGCTAGTAGAGTGCATCACCTAGAAGGCTTCAAACTGATAAGGTTGCTTACATGCTTTTAAAGTATGACAGTTTTAATATTGAAAAGGCAGGTTACTAAGTCACACACTCATTGAGCAGGAATAAATAAAGTAGATCACCAAGAAAAGGACCACCATAAATATTATCCATCCCTTTCCAAGATTAAAAATGGAGATATTAATGAAAAGAGATTAAATACAGATGTCGTCTATAAGATGGAGATATTGTTGGCTTCTCAGCCAGAAATCTATGTCCTTTTTGCCAATTGACTCCAAAATGATGCAAAAAAAAAAAAAATCTCTTTTTCAAAAATGTTTACATACAGTACATTTAGAAAGCATCAGATCCCATATTTTTTCTTTTCTTCGTATTTATGTTGCAGCCTTATGCTACAATTATTTATCCTATTTCTTTCCACATCAATCTACACTCAATATCCCTTAATGACAAAGCAAAACAGATTTTTGAACTCCCCCTCTTTGTGGTCCTCCCTCCCTCTCCCCCTTAGTATTATCCTCCCCCTCCACCTGTCACACAAATAAAGCAGCACCTTTGAGGAAGAGCGAGCATGTATGCTATTTAATCTATTTTCTGTCAGCACAATCTACAGATTGCAGGCGTACCTGAAGCAAACATCAATCTTTATTCAAAGCCTATTAGTATTCACTAGTGAGAAAAACTAGTTCTACTAGGGTAGATGTCCCTCCGGATAACTGCACAGCACCCGAGGGTGTGCAAAGTGATTCCAAAACAATGAATATTTATATCCCCTTTGGCACCGAATCCAGACTGCTCTCTGTCTGAACTTTCATTAGAGCAATAACGCTTCTCAAAACTATGCCACTATGAGAACTTGTATTGGCTGTGCATGGGGAAAACCCTTGGTACAAATAAAGGACAATTAAAATTTTACTTCCCAGGTGAATTTTGTTTGAACAATTTAAATATCCGTGACATCGTTACAGGTATATAACAGTATGTATATTCAGACAGCGTATATAATGTGCGACAAAACAGGTGACCGCATTGGGCCAAAGGCGTGGACTTAATACCAATGTGTACAGTAACAGCAGTGTACGTTGTACGGATATGAAGTTCTAAGCATTATTGTATACTTCCCTTTTTTTTTTTTAAACAACAAAGAAAAGTAAAGTAAAGAGAACAGTAATGTACAGAACACCTGTGGAGTAATACAGAAGGTGGAACAAATGCACCATCTTCGGTGTGCACCAATTTCAGAGGGTATGTGTGTGAGTGGGGTAAGCCTTGCAGGGTGTACAGGTCATAGTTGGGATCTCAGTCCCCATGTACCAGGTCCACATTCAGACTAGGTAATGTGGCTGGGTGTTAGATATATGAAGGGGTGTCAATTTTGTTTGCATTGCTTTTCGCATGCCGCCCAAGCAGTCTGGAGCAGTTGGAATTTCTTGCTATCGGTTTGTGACATTCGTTCATAGATGTAAAACTGTTGGAGTTTGTCTTTGATTTGGAAGGCGGGGGGCAGATAGTGGATTTCCAGTTGAGTGCTATAAGGTTACGAGCTGCTAATATGGTCAATGCGGTCATTTGTCTATACCAGTGGTCCAGATCAGGGGGAAACAGTAGAAGTAGGCATGTGGAGGCCGTCATGGGGATGTTTGTCACTCCCAGTGAGGTTAAAATAGTGAAAACATCATGACAGAGTGGGTGAATGCCAGTGCACAACCACCAAACATGAAGGAAAATACACATTTCCAGTAGGTGGGGGAGGTCGCCGGTAATATCTTACGCAATATGTGGGGAGTCATGTACCACCTGTAGAGAAGTTTTCTGTGGGCCTCTATGTGGGAATAGCATTTTGTCCATTTTAAAAAGGTAGTGAGGGCTTTCAGCCAAACTTCATCTAGGGCTATGGCACAGTCAATTTCCCACTGGGACCGACAGATCTAGTGGGACATTTTAAAGGAGTTGATGGCTCCAAAATGTGGACGTGAGCCATTTCATCTACAACTAGATAAGCTACAATTTCTGGAGAAATTGTGTGAAGTGTTCTTGCCTCCACCAGTAGTCTACAACTGGAGTGGGCGGAGTAACTGTTATCATTTATATAGCACATTTAATTGCAACGTTGTTGCACAGTTACATTAAACCATACATTTATAAAAACATTAGCAGGTGTTCAAAAGGCCCTGTCTATGACATCACTTGCTGCTGCAGCCTGGCACAGGTCAGAGTATTTTGGCGGTTGCCATCTTCAAACGGTCGTATTTTAAAAACTATAAATCCTACAGCAAAGAGCTTTATATTGTGAGAATCACAAGACCCAGACCTACATTTTGATGCATAGTATGTCTCTGAAGTATTAAAAATGAAGGCACAGTCGCAGTTTAGAAATTGCACTTCAAATTTGAGCTTTGCAGAGTGAAGTTTCAATGAATGTCAATGGACGGCGTTGGTTGCAAACAAATGGTCATATTGTGAAAACTATCAGGACTACGGCTTAGCCGTTGACATGTTTAGTGGCAGCAGGGATAGCTGAACGTTTTGATATAAGATTTGTGTAGGTGGGCCTGAAAATAAGGGAGTGGTGGCAGTTTAGAAATCATGTCCTGATTTTTCAGCTTTTGCCAGCTCCCACTCTAGCTTTGCCATTCATTCCTATGGGACAAATTTCGCCACAAGAACGACGATATTCCGTGAACCATTCGGCGAAACGTTCCACAAAGTAATAGCAATCCGATCGGGAACAATCTGCACGTTTTGGTAAATTTTTGTCTATGTAGTGTAAAAACTGTGGGAGGAGTTAGGGTGGCAAATTTGGCTATAATAAGAATAAGAATATATATATGTGAGATAACATTAAGTGGTCTTGCTATGCAAGAACACTTAATAAGAATATATATGTGAGATAACATTAAGTGGTCTTGCTATGCAAGAACACTTAAACTTAAAATCAGCTATGTCTCTATGAAATCCCTGTATTGACAGTAAAGGGAAGACATTTAAAAAAAAAAAAAAAAATTAATTTAAATTAGGTGATGTCCCGCCTTCCAAAGAAAAATAAAACTTGAGATTGCAAAGCATAGGTCAGAGATTAACAAACAAAAGGTTATGGAACAACAGCTCCTTTTTCCCTTTGGCGTTTTACGTCCAACTCTATCAATCTACTTTTGCTTTCAAGATGCACTTTGCAACCATCTGTCAACCACTGCTTTACATGTGCTTTGTGTACAGTGCAGCAGCTTAATGCCAGATAGACAGCATAAAGATAAATGCAAACAAAGCGTAACATGTTAAGTGAGGAGTGACTGCAGGTTACATAGGTAATTTGTTAAACATACATAAGGTGGAGCTGTTATGATCGATAAATGTATACATCAACTTAGGCCAACCTGGCCTATATAATGTTAGACTGTAGAGCAGTGGATTTGCAGTATGTTGTGTACAGCCCTCATCTTAAGTTAATAAACTATTTTATCGGTTGCTTGAGCATTTAAAATATCCTCCATCATGACACTGTTCATAGAGTGCTGTGGACTATAAGTACTATGGCAGTTGCAATTCATGGAACACTGAAGACAGGTATTCCCTGATCTCTGGAATTCTGAGTCCCTTATCAAACCTAAACAACCCCTAATCCAAAGACCCACTAAAACTACCAGACAAAAATTAAGCTAACTTAACCACACGACACCTAACTTGCCTTGGTAGCATCCTTTTAAAAAAATGCATATTCAGCTCAATGTCTTTGAACCACGGTATAATCAATGTGCTGCCTTATTTGCCTGGAACATTTAAGAAAGCATGCCTTTTTAAAGGGTGGCGTTTTAAATGAATCTGGTATTGATACATCCTGTGGTCTATTACTTAAAGGAACACAAATATGTATTCATAATACTATATAGTGTTAAAGGGATACTGTAGGCACCCAAACCACTTAAGCTCATTGAAGTGGTCTGGGTGCAATGTCCCATGTCGCTTAACCGTACAGTCGTAATTATTGCAGTTTCTGATAAACTGCAATAATTACCTCTGAAGGTTAACTCCTTCTCTACAGGCTGTCTAGTAGAGGGACTTCCAGAATCGAAACAAACTCGCTCTGCATGAGGACCTCTAGAGTCAGATTTTTTTCCCATAGGAAAGCATTGAATAATGCTTCCCTACGGCGAAATCCTAATGCGAGCCCAGCCATTGCGACGCATGTGCTTTAGGTCTGACCTGCCGGCGGGGGAGTAGTGTGGGTGGAACCTGACCCAGCGACAAGAGACATCGGTGCTGGATTCAGGTAAGTGACGGAAGGGATTTTAACCCCTTTAGCACTGCGGGAGGGGGACACAAGGGAGTTGGGTACTGCAGGAGCCTAGAGTGCCAGGAAAACGGGTTTAGTTCTCCTGGCACTATAGAATCCCTTTAAACTAGCAGTTTAGATGTTATTTTAGTTACATTTTCTCCCTTGCCGTGCTGGTCTCACCGCGACTAGCCCCGTCTCCATGGCTTAGATCTTGATGATCTCGACCAAATCAATGAGTTCCCCTATAGGAAAGCATTGGGAGGCTATTGTGTGCACCCCAATCAGCATCTCCTTATAGAGATGCAATGAAGGAGGTGTTTACAGCACCAAGACAGGACATACTATAGACACCAGAACCTCTACATTAAGCAGTCTACTGTCTCTTTAATTGTAATTATGAGATTAATCCAAACATTGAAATTTCTTACAGGTGTTTGGGTGGTTCTGTACTTCCGTACTCCATTTAGTGTTAAACTATTTTAAACAGTTTCTACTAAAAGAGGGTCCAAGGCTTCCCCCAGCCCTGTTCCCACTGCTGCTGCTAAGGCAGAGATTAAACACTTCCTTCTAGCCATAGCCAATAATACCTAAAACAGCCCTGTAATAGGCTGAAAGTGGTCAGCTGACACACTTAACCTAAGCAGCAGTGGTTACCTGTGATTGGCTGTCTAATGCTTCCTCATTAGCCAGAGCAGCACTAGGGAAAGGAGTTGCTGTGAACATTAAAAGTGGTTTAACACTAAATGGAAGGATGGCACCAGTGGATTCCAGACACTGTAACCACTTCAATGAGATGAAGCAGTTACAGTTTGTACAGTGTCCCTTTAATTTGCCGGATACTGGTGGATTACAATTTTTATTTTAGCCCCCACTCTCTCCTATATCCTTCAACAAGAGCACCTTTAAATAAGCACATGAACATAACTAAACAATACTCCTACATAACCGTAGGGTCCCTAGGACTGTGGTGACATGGAAGCAATTCACTTCACACACCCCTTCCCCCTCCCCCATAACTGGCCTGCTAATAATCGAACTCCCAGGAAAAAATCTAAAGGAACTTCATTTAGTATGACCAGTGTGATTAGGATTTTAAACACCTACAGAAGCACGAAGAAATTAGAGCAGCAGGCAGAACAGTTCAGTCTATTTGCCAAGCATCTGGCAGCTGCAGGGTTACAGAGTAAGCAGTTTCTAGAGGTCAAAGGGAGGCGAAAATACGCAACAGTTGAAAGTCTACGGCTGAACGTTGTGCTCAGGTTTCTACCTTAGGACAGCGTGGCAGAGCAAAGGCCAGTAAAAAAGGGAAGGATCTGACAAGACACATGGAATTTAAACACAGCCGGGACAAATGGGGACAGACTGCACTATGCCCCATATCAATGTCTACAATCATTAATTCACTCCAGACACCAGCAAAAGAAGATGCATTGCATTAAGTGACCAACAAACTACAGCTGTTCTACTATACTGTCCAGCAGAAAGCCAAGCATAATGGTAGTTGCAGTACAATACCAGCTAACCTACTTCACATGCATCATCTCCTGCTTCCACATGAAAAGAAATCTTGTATTTTATGAGCTTTTAAAACCATTTTGCTTTATTATAATAATCATAATAAAAAAAACAAAAAAACGAATATACTATATTAAAGGAACACTATAGTTTCAGGAACACAAACTTGTATTCCTGACCCTATATGCTAAACCTACCATTTTCGTGGCTAATTAGAGATTGCTGACAGCAATTAAGGGGCATTCATGGAAAAATGTAGGGATAATTCTTGAATAGAACAGTAACCCCCTCTTCATGATAACTTCCATTTTATTACGTCTGTCCTGTCACATGCTCAAGGACGTGTTAAAAAGTCATCACACAGGATGGGAGAAGGGTTTTTCTTCAGGGAACTTTGAACACATTTCTATTATTAAATTTGGTTATAGATTTGAAATAGTGCTTCCAATATTAAAGTTTTCATGGCATTAAGAGAAAGATTAAAGGACCACTCTAGGCACCCAGACCACTTCAGCTTAATGAAGTGGTCTGGGTGCCAGGTCCTTCTAGGGTTAACCCATTTTTTTTATAAACATAGCAGTTTCAGAGAAACTGCTATGTTTATGAATGGGTTAAGCCTTCCCCCTAATCCTCTAGTGGCTGTCTCATTGACAGCCACTAGAGGCGCTTGCGTGCTTCTCACTGTGATTTTCACAGTGAGAGCACGCAAGCGTCCATAGGAAAGCATTGTAAATGCTTTCCTATGCGACGGGCTGAATGCGCGCGCATTCAGCCCAGGAGGAGGAGGAGGAGGCAGAGAGCTCCCCGCCCAGCGCTGGAAAAAGGTAAGTTTTAACCCCTTTCCAGAGCCGGGCGGGAGGGGGTCCCTGAGGGTGGGGGCACCCTCAGGGCACTATAGTGCCAGGAAAACGAGTATGTTTTCCTGGCACTATAGTGGTCCTTTAATGCAGCTTACTAGTTTGGGCATACCCCTTTATTCTTCACATAAGCATAGTTAACAGGGCCAAGCTAATTTATGGTTCTGGGCCCTCTGAATTCACTTTATAATTATCCCTGCTCTGATGGAGTTGATAATTAGCTTTCAAACTTTAAACATACTTGCTGAGATTGAAGTCCACATGTGTTTGAGCAGCTTTTAAAAGGTTAATTTTGTAGAGTAATATGAATCCCAGTCCTTTTGCAATTAAGATGTCAATCATTTATATGCAAATGAGGGGTCTATTTTTTTACCTATAGAAACACAGTCATCCTTTTTATTTGTTTTTAATAACAATCATGGCATATTGTAACAAATTTGGCATCAAAGATTAAATATACGTAAAAAAAGTTCTAATAATTGATAAGTGTTTCTTTAACACTGAATTATAGTAAATTCTAAAGACTTGAAAGGTCAAAGTGGATTCCAGGGAGCAAGGGCAATGGATGGGTGGTCACTTGAAAGCCCACCCACTCCATTAAATGTACCAACAGGTTTATTTACTTATTAATGCATTTTCTGAAAGTCTATAGATATCCAAGAAGCATACAATTCCTGTTAATAATTTAGTATAGGTTTCATAAAACGTTTTTCAGTGAACCAGCGCAGGGCACAGACTTCACTTGAAATCCTGTGTTTATTAAATATGAGGCTGCCAAACGCCAGGAGCTGTACACAGGAACAGATAAAGCTTACAGTATAGACTAAAATAAAGGCCATCAATATACAAAAAAAAAAAAAAAACAATTACAACAGACTTACGCAATCCTGTTGACAGCTGCATCTTCAACATCAACTGTTTGAGAGACAAAAAAAAACTCAACGTCAGTCTTTGACAGTGTGGAAAACTATTAATGTTGCAATGAGTGCACTAAACCTGCCAAGAGAAAATAGAAATACACAGTGTCTCCTTTCTACCAAATAACTACGGTTTAAAGTACTGAAGTGGTACTGTGCATAACCTGCTGACCATTGCACTACTGATAACTCAACAGAGCATAGCACAAGCTGAAATAGAAATAAGATAATTAGAGCAGATTGGATGCCTAAATGTAAAAAGATTTGAAATAACTGTGCTAGATTTTACACAAGTGTTTTTATACATTTTACAGAAAGTTAGTATGTGCTAGTTTGTCACACGTGGAGGGAAGTTTGTTTTCCTGTTATGAGTTTTACAATAAAGAGTAGAACACATGCTCAGGAAACAGGAAATGAAATGAAGGCAGCAGCACAGACTTCAACGCTTTAACGTTCTGTGCCTTCCTAGAAATAGTGACCTTTACAGTCCCTAAAAAGGCATGGATTATCCTCTTCATTCCAGGAGAACCAGGTATCCATCTGTAACTATTTAAAATCACTGTAGCTTCAACCACAAATATTCTCTCAGAATCCAGAGGACTCAAAGATTCCTTCCAAGAGTGGTAGACCCAGATCGTATTGGCTTCCCCGATAAAAGTGACCAGCAGTTGGGTGTGCATGCTGCTCAGGACCAATTACTATGTGATCAGCAGGGACACAGTGTTGGCTGGGGGAGGAGTGAGGGTCTGTGCAAACTAAAGTGACCAGAATCTTCATTGTTTATTTTTGCTGAGTGAATGAATCTGCAAGATGAGATGCATCTTCCACTGTTACTGCAATCACACAAAAACACACACTTGATACTGTGTAAGCAGGGGAAATGTGGCCGCAGTTACATCAGCAAAGGGAATCCCTATGCATTAGGGTTAGTGTTGATGTAGGGTGTGCATTACGAGGGGATAGTGGTAGGGTTCCCTTTTTAAAATCTGTTCTTTTGTAAAAAGTGGACTGGCATGCCCCTTTAAAAAAAACAAAAACAAATATGACATGAGAGATTTAAAGTTCATATTGAATATCCATGTCAGACAGTCCTACGGTTATGTGCACAGCAATAAATCCTAAGAATGTGATATCTTCATGGCAGACACTGCATGTGTTGACACATTCAATGGTAATTTGATTGGTCTGTGCATTACCTTCATAATATACAATATACCATTATACATTCACGGATGCTTATTCATTGGCTGAGAGTGGTCAGCTGACACTTTCAGCCAATGAATGAGTGGCAGGATTGGCATCCGGCTTCTGCAGCTATGCAGAAGACAGACGTAATCCTGCATTAAGTGGAGACACAAGGCCTGGCAGGACTTAGGTAAAAAGAAGCAAACTTTGGTGCTGTGACACTATTTGTATCACTAGACAAATGTTCAAAGTGAGCAGTAGAGAGTGCTTCTATTGCATTCTACTGACTGAGATAGATAATTGCCACACACTTGACAAAGGCCCCATTGTGGGCTGAAATGTTGCAATGTCTGTTCATGTCCAATAAAGCTACTTGAATTGATGGAGTGTCTGGACCACCTTTTCCTTCTGACTGGCAATCTGGGGAATTATTTTACAGGTACAAAGATCTTTTAATGTAAAGTCAAAGTCACAGAACACTCCACACCTTATACGCAAGAGGCACAAAATGAAATCTTGTTTCTTGTTATAAACTACTGAATTAGAAATATTGCAAAAAAGTGACTTTCACAATTATATACAAGTGCTTTTAGTGATCAAAGTGCAATTAGTATATTATTTAATGAATAAACTTCCCTTCAGGTGTAGAAAATCCTGATGATTTCCTCAATAGAATCATCAGAAAAGGGGAGTGGTGACGTCAGAAAAGGCAAAACCAAAAAGTAAATCTGACTTCACTGCAAACAACTGAGAAGATTAAAGCACCGATCGGAAGAAAGCTAGTAGCTGGGAAAGTGAGAATAGTTTATATGCACTTTGTAATTTGTCTGAATAGCACTGAATTGTCCACGAGGAAGTCCCTGGGTGGGACAAAACACGTCGGGCCAACCTTTTGATCTTATGGTGACAGACTACATCTGCTAATACTAACTTTGATGTAAGTCAATAAATCTGCATTGTGCACTTTATTTGGCTGCCTTTTAATTGGATTGCACCTTGTCTCACCTTATTTTGAGATATATAAAGCTCAAGACTTAACAGATCTACATCTACATCCATTATACTGAAGGCTCTTATCTTTTTCAAATTGTGAGTGGCCATGTAGCACATACTTTCACTATAATTTGGGTATACATAGAAACATAGAATGTGACGGCAGATAAGAACCATTCGGCCCATCTAGTCTGCCCAATTTTCTAAATACTTTCATTAGTCCCTGGCCTTATCTTATAGTTAGGATAGCCTTATGCCTATCCCACGCATGCTTAAACTCCTTTAGTGTGTTAACCTCTACCACTTGAGCTGGAAGGCTATTCCATGCATCCACTACCCTCTCAGTAAAGTAATGCTTCCTGATATTTTTAAACCTTTGTCCCTCTAATTTAAGACTATGTCCTCTTGTTGTGGTAGTTTTTCTTCTTTTAAATATAGTCTCCTTATACAGTTTTGCACAATTTTGCACCATTTCTTCCCTGACAGGACAACCCCTATTTTTATACATAAACTACTGAATGACTGAACAGCTAAATTCTTGAGCAGCTGGCAGAGGATGGACACACTGCCCTTAACACAATGTGGTCTCTATTTGTGTGGCTGATATGCCTGTAATTCTGTGTCTCAGTATGGCACAAAATGAGAAGTGATAAGGATGTGAGCTTCGGTCTCTGGCAGCAGAGTTAGATAAAGACATTATGGGCCTTAAAATCAGACAGTGGCTAAGACGCCCCAGCACATGCCTTGTTGTCCTGACCTGCATTAACAAAATGATTATGCGATAATGAAGGCCATGTATAAAAAGTGATGTGCTTTGAAAAGTGGCACAATATAAGGGGAGTAGTCAGTAATGTCATGTGTCTGCTGGTTCCACTGCATCCAAGGCTGATTGCCCAATTCTAAATACTTCAGACCACTTTCAAGAACACTGTAAACTGCTAAAATAGAGAACTACTGTGACGATACAGACTTAAATCGTCCATGGGTACTTCCATTAACTTGCACAACTGATCACTATACTAAGTGCTATGACCTGGGCTTAGAGCAGTTTGAAGAGACATCACAAAAAGGAGAGTTACATGAAGTGAAGGGAAACTACTGTGCGTTTATAAATCTGCATATAGAAATGTAAATAAGGGGGCGGGGCCTGACTATCTTCATGGCCCTTAACCTATCCACCAATATTGCAGGATCAATAGAGTTACCTTACTTGGACTTGCCAAGTCTACCTAGCGGCTGATAACCACATTAATCCTATGCTTCCTGCTGGGAAAACATACTTACCTTGCTATTTATGATTGTATGGATGCACAAAACACATACACAAAAAATATAAATGAAAAAGGAAATAAAAACGGTTACAATATTTGTGTAGCACTTACCTGTTGTAAAGTCAGCATGCTTTTTGAACTTTGTGATGACCATATACGAGAGGAGATAGAGGAATGAGAAAAGCAGGGTGCAGATCTGCCAAGAAAAAAAAAAGAAATGGTTATATTACATTGAACAGTGAGCCTTCTACTAATTTAGTCTTAATAAAACGTAATCTTGTTTCTTGTTATAAACTAATGAATTAGAAATATTGCAAAAAAGTGACTTTCACAATTATATACAAGTGCTTTTAGTGATCAAAGTGCAATTAGTATATTATTTAATGAATGTGTTTTAATCAAGTACTCCATAAATGTTCAGTATATGGAGAAGCCTGGAGTTTTTGAGGGAACGGACAGGTTATGACCAGGAAATCAGGATTTATTTTTCTTATTATCAGCCTGTTTTAAAAACTGGGATACAACGGTCTAAACAAATGCAACCTGTTGGCACAGGACAGATTCAAAACCCAAATGTCAACTGAAAGCATCTTGAGTGCACACTGTTGGTAAATATACCATTTACTGAACAACTCTGTGAGCCCGACTTAAGGGGCACTGTAGGCACAATAATTATTTAATATCGCTGAATGAATTACAGTTTCTAGAGTCCCCTGGCACTGTCCCTCCCTTCAATGTTAAAGCGGCAGAATCTTTATAATATACTCATTATGACAGTGTTGGAATTTCACTGAAATTCCAACTCAGTCAAGGGACTACTTTGTTGCTGTATTTCTCCTCCGCCTGACTTTCTTTCACACAAGGTGGAGTCTAAGTGTCAATCCCTTCAGACATCACCAGTGATGGCTGCAAGGAATTTTCTGTGTCTATGAAGGATTTCAATGCTGTACTCACGCATGCGCAAGAATACAGCAGTGACGTCAGCATCGACGCGGACCACACCAGACCAAGACGACTGTGTCTGCGAAGGACAGGTTCAGGTAAGTAAACACACCTTTATCTGCTCCACTCGGCCACCAAACTCGAAGCAACGATGTCACAGTCGCAGGACTTTGCGAATTCGGCAAAGTCCCCAAACGGTGACAGTGAAGCTTAAACCATTTTCAAGCAGTTTAACCCTGGCTTCCTACAGCCCTGCTCCTACTGAAGGTGTGTCCATAGCTATACCAATTCATACCAGCAATTTCAATGTGGGTCAGCTGACACACAAGACAATCACAACCACCCATTCCTCATTAGTCCAAGCAGCAGAGAGAGGACTCTTGTTTAATGCCAATTGAAAGAATAACTCCAGGGTACTTCAGAATCTATAACAATATTAAGCAGTTATGGTGCCTACACAGTCCCTTTAGGAACAGATTCTGGAACATGTCCACACACACAAGGTTACCCTGAAGTGAGCCAATTGAAGGGGTTTTTGATGTATTCGCCATTAAGGTTTATAGAGCCCAAAGATCTTTCAATGAAAGGATGTACAACACTTAGCAATAAAAATAAATAAAAATTTAAAATAAATATATAGTTGGTGTAGAACAGATTTGACTTGTTACCTGTGGTCCGCAGGGCACCGCTCCTGGCCTCTACTACTACTCACTGACAGCCAGAAGCTCTCTTCCCTGAGCTAATCTTCAGCTGACACTCTGAGCCAAGGTTTGGCTCAGGACAGCCACTAAGCATCGGTGGAGACTGGGCCCAGAACTCCAGAGTCAAACCGTTCTAACATCTTACTATGGTGGGATGTTAAGGCACTCATGGAACCATAACCACTACAGTGCACGTGGTGGTTATGGTTCTTGGAGTGTTCCTTTATGGGCTCCATTGAAAAGAATAAGGAGTAGAGGAAGCAGTGAAAATATAATCTCATGTTCAACTCAATGGCAGAGTAGTCATTCACACAGGTAAAATAGGGACAAAACCCTCAAAACATTTTAAACTATGACAGATGAGGAACGCCTGACATTGCTCATAGTCAAACATTTGTCTTCTCAAACTGAAGATCTAGGCCAACTGAGTCCAATTTAGTGTAATGACCTAGTTAGTTAATTAATGCTCAAGCAAATATAGTGATCCCCACGGACTATTATACAAATTACAAGTAATGATCTCAATTAAAAACGGCCCTTTCAGAAGTGTCACCCAAACTGCTAGAACTACTTCTAGACACCAACAAATAATCCGCAGACCTCGAAAGGATCCCCGAACCACTCAAATCACAGTCACCAGCACTAGAAAAAACAAACAAACATCAGAGCAGATCAAATGAAAAGACAGTACCTTTTACTAGACTAGAATAAAATACTATACAAGGCTACGACCATGAGAGTGCTTCAATTATTAAGTGAGGCACTTCAAAGATTTAACAGGTTTCAAAGGCCTGCTCTGTCTAACTGGAGTGACATTACAAGGGCTGCAGGATGAGAGAAATTTTCACAGTGCACATTTCAGCTCTAAAGAAAGATCTCAAGTAAAGGTATTTAGAGTATTTCTATGTAAACCTCCTGTTATGATTGTGTATTATGTACAGATAGATTAGATAAGTTACACACCTCTGAACGTCCACTGTACGCAGCACACCACCAATATCTGCCTATATCAGCTGCATTTATATAGTGCTAATATATTCTAAAAAAACACTTTACAATTAGAAGGGGGATACGAAGAAGGCCCTGCTCAAATAAGCTTACAGACTAGGAGCAATTGATATATATTGTTCAGTGTTGGGCCCAGGGATGGTCTGAGCAGGATTTGAGCCAGTTCCAAGGCAATGCTCTAACCAGGAACTAGCCAAAATGTCACAGCCAGTCTACCTCAATAATGTTCAGGTAATGTCCAGTACCATAAAAACCTGTAAGAAGGGTTGTGTAGTTCAACACTAAGCAGCATTCGCATTTATCAAAACCCCACGAATTTAGCTGCTGGCAAGCTAATAGCACCAATAGTTCAATTTGTGACGTTATAAATGGATTTATAGTGGAAAGTGGGCATACAGCACCAGCTCAGTAGCAGAAAGCTGTAAAGGAGTCACTTGAAGCGTGGGACTGGCATCAACCTACATCACATAGCTTTCCCTTATAGTGTATTTGAATAACTGCAATTGTAAGTAAGCAGAAGGGTGACTGGGATAAGTGTCCTAGACTGGCAATATAATGTTTGTTTATGTATTGAAATAAGAAGCCACACAGCTTAGCAACACCAATTACATTTAAATAGAGTAAATAGTAATAATACAGTGCTCTACAGTGGCAAGAAAAAGTTGGTGAACCATTTGGAATTAGTTGTTTTTCTGCATTAATCATGAAATGTCATCTCATCTTTATCAAAGTCAAAGTATAGACAAACAATGTTTAGGCATGATAAGTTTGCTACGAATCTAGGAGCCAGAGGTTTTTTTTCCCCCATGTTTGTTTTTTTTTTTTAAAAACTTTATTTTCAACATCAAAAAAAATCTTAAAGGGACACTATTGTCACCATAACTACTACAGTTTAATGTAGTGGTTCTGGTGTTTATAGCATGTCCCGGCAGGACATTCCTCACTGGTGGTTGAAGCACCATGAGCTGAAGGAAGCAGACTGCGGTTCCCAGAGGCTGCAGGCCAGCCACCAAAGATTTAATCACCACTTACAGAAGAAAGATAGGTTTGAGGTGACAGACACTTTCTTCTATTCCAGAATCTGATCTTTGTCATTTCTGATCTATTTCTCTTTTAAACATAAAAGATAAATGTTGGGGGGCTTCAGGCAAGCTGCGCTTCCTTTGTTAAGATAACAGAGTTTGGAGCTTGCCTTTAGCTCCAGCCTTTGTCAATATAATTAAAGGACCACTATAGGCACCCAGACCACTTCAGCTTAAGGAAGTGGTCTGGGTGTCAGGTCAATATAGGTTTAACCCTTTTTTTCTATAAACATAGCATATAGAATTTTTAGGGTTAATCCAGCAATGAGACAGCCACTAGAGGGCTTCCGCGCTTCTCACTGTGATTTTCACAGTGAGAAGACGCCAGCGTCCATAGGAAAGTATTGTGAATGCTTTCCTATGGACTGGCTGAATGCGCGCGCAGCTGCTGCCGCGCATGTGCATTCAGCTGAAGAGGAGGCGGAGAGTTCCCCGCCCAGTGTTGGAGAAAGATGCAAGTTTAACCCCTTCCTCCCCCTAGAGCCGGGCGGGAGGGGGACCCTGAGGGTGGGGGCACCCTCAGGGCACTATAGTGCCAGAAAAACGAGTATGTTTTCCTGGCACTATGGTGGTCCTTTAAAAAGACAAAATAGATCTATACATAATTGGTTTCATTTAGTCAAAAGTGTTTAGGTAAAACACAAGATGCGAAATGCACAAACACCTGCTAATAGTCAAGCAAAGATCCAACACAAAGATTTGTCACAGCTGGAAGCACACTAAGGGATACGAGTATGACAGACTCTGCAGGCACAGTGTGACCTTAAGGAGGCGACCAGGACTATAAATTGCAGCAGCACACAAACCAATTAAGATATTGTAATGTAAGCCTGTAGTCTCCGTCATGGATATCAAATTAATGTTCCATAAACAAATCCCAGTTCCCAGATACTGAACTCTCTGAGAGAAATAAAAGATAAGCTATAAAGAATATTTATCAAAGCAAATCCGTATAATGCAACCATCATATTTTGAAATCACAAAGTTAATCTTTTCATAAAAGCAGTCAATGGAAATTTTATCTAGCATAGCATTAACATCAACAGGTCTATTTACAGGAAGCCTGGCATTGAAAAAAATGCCCTGTGTACTCATTGCTGCGTCTGCAAAGCATTCTGGGAAATCTACATTATACAACAGCTGATAAGGTACATGTTGGCATCACCCATTCTAAATATATGGAACTGCACATTATTGCTCTGTAACAGTTATGCCTTTTGGAGCTTGTGTGCTCCTCCTGTTCTGTGATACCTTGCGGAAATAGTTTTATTTTTTATTCTTTATTTTTGCGATAACAGTATTTAATGATAGGATACAGTGAGGTTGGAAGGTACTTACAGATAACGGATATATAGCATACAATGCAATATTACAGCCATCAGATTGAAAAATAACCCTCATTACAGTATTCCAGACCATGTATCAAGTATTTTGTTTAACCCCTTAAGGACCAAAATTCTGGAATAAAAGGGAATCATGACATGTCATGTGTCCTTAAGGGGTTAAGCATAGGAAAAATAAAGGTATCCCAGAAAGGTAGGAAAAGAGTTAAGAAAAAAGTCCCAGCAGTATGGCCATTAGGGGTGTGTGCACTTCGATATGCGGGGAATGTAGGTGGCAGCCGTAGTTCATGCGTACCACCGAAACAAGCTCTGTCTGAGATAAACCTGGCATTGCTGGGCTTAGTTAAAATGTATGAGAGTGAATGGAAGCTCATACACAGCAACTTATGCTCTCTGAAGACACTAGTGGAGGCTGGTTTAGATACTAGCTTACCACAGGTAAAAAGCCAAATTATTCTAAAAACGGTCTGACTAATTACATGCTGTAGTTGTTATAGTTCTTGGAGTGTTCATTTAAGCCTCTTTCAAAACAATGGAGTCCCTGGAGACCATTTCTTTGCCAATACAGGATTGTTTCAGTGCTCTATATATAATTTTTATTTTGTATATATTTAACCCTTACTAAGGCCACAAAGTCATGATAACATGTAGGAATGATGTCCGAAGTATCAAACCAAGACAACAGTAAAATACAGGTACTAAATAAAATAGTCAAATTCAGCAGTTTCTGAACGTGTGTGTGTGTGTGTGGAACTTGGCTTACGAACACTCCAACGTAACTCATATGGTATGTAGAGAATTTAGCAATTCAGCACGTGTTTTACAAAAATGATGAGAACACCATATTTCAAGCCTTTAAGCTTTTTTTTTTGAGAATCTGCATATGGGACACACATTGTCTTTTCACGGCTTATAAGAATATGCCTTCCAAAATGCGAAAAGGTAATAATTATAACATACCTACAGAAACAAACACCCAGTAGTATACATGATCATCTTATAACAAGTTATTCATCCTTCAAAGGTGGTAAGATAATTTTAAAGTCTTGTGTTTTGAAATAATATTGCATTGGACACTGCTCTATGATTATATAAGGTAAAGCATGTTTATCTGAATATTCAGGCCTAAGAGGCTTCAGTTTTTTGGAAAACATTAAAAAAGCAGTAATTAAAGCTTAACCCTTTCCAAGTGAGTAACATGTGAGTACTCTTATGATAAGAAGCAATTTGTCTTGATCGGAGACCTCAATGGTGTCAAAAAATAGAGAAGGTACATTTTGTGGGTATCTTATAAACAACACTCGATGAGTCTGGCGCTCACACAAAAATGCTGCTCAGGATAGTTCAGCCAATAACTATTTGCCTGTGGCATGTGGATTCATGTTACTAATATTCTTCAGGCTGATCACGATCTTTAAAGCATAAAGCTTTGAGAGCAACTCAGCTATTTCTAGTGATACAACCCAAACTTTTTTCCTCTTTTATTAAAAAAAAAAAAAAAAAAAACCTCTAAACTCCAAAATCACTATATTGCAGTCCTCCAGTTTTTGTTGACAATTTTATTATGTATCACTACTGTGAGAACAGAGAGTTGCCTAGCCAGCTGTTGGCCAAAAATGTAGTTAATAGTAACAGAACCCCATAACGTGAAATGCATACCTCCTTAGACAATATTATATTTCTTACACAGAGACAAAAAAAATTATTAGAAAGCCAGACAAATCTCAGCGGGGTTCATAGGATATGTAGTTCATCCCTAGGAAATAATTAATATCCTTTCCTGATTTTGAAGGATTACTCCAACCACCATGACTTCAGTGACTGGTTGCACCTAAACGGGAAAGGGTCTGCAGTGTTGGGGGATAGGATGGCTAGAAGGTTGGAGGACATTTTAAACTAGTAGTGGGGGTGGGTCATAGCAATCTACAAAATGGAGATAGGACAGAAAGGAGATGGGCTTTATCTCAGTAGAAGGGGGGTAGGGAGAGGAGCAAGCTCAGAATACAGAAAGTATGTAATGTTGATAATTTACAAAAAGTACAAGTGACTCATGATAATATTAAATGTATGCTTACTAATGCAATAAGCCAAAATAACAAAATCAGGGAACTAGAGGCAATAGCATACACCAAGCCAGTCATGTCCAAAGTCCGGCCCGCGTTCCGGTTTAATACGGCCCCACAGGTAATTTGGCTAATCTATCTGTTGTGGCCCCCAGTGAATCCCCTAGCGCTGCTCAGGATCCCTGGATCTTTAAACGCCGCTGTTCCGAGCGGCGCACGGGGCTTCACTGGGGGCCAAGAGATCGCGAGAACGCAGACAGACGTGCAGTCACTGCTCATCCTCGGTCTGTGTTCTCCAGATCTCTTGGACATCGACGTTGGGGAGGAGGGGGGGTTCATTCCTTCTCCCTGGAGGCAGAGAATTAAGGGGCAAAATAAAAGAAACAAAATAAAAGAGAGAAGGGACAGAATGAAGGGACAGAATAAAAGAGAGGAAATGAAAAGTATGTAGTTTGCAATAAATTTTGCATAAAATAGTTAATTTGCATTTAGTTTTAATGGTTCAAAGAATGTCAGGCAAAATAGTCGGCCCTCACGCATATTCACTTCATCAAATCTGGCCCTCTGAAAAAAGTTTGGACACCCTTGCACTAAGCAATTTGACATAATTGGCATAACTGAAACATGGTGGGATGAAACACATGACTGGGCAGTTAACTTAAATGGGTACACACTATTTTGGAAGGACAAAAAAAACAGGAAAGGTGGTGGGGTATGTTTGTATGTCAACCATGAGTTATCTTATGCAAGTGGAATGTGATGAGGAAGATGTGGAAACTTTGAGTAAATATCTGCTTGGGGCAAAAGAAGGGAAATCAACGATTGGTTGGGATACGTTACAAACCACCTAATGTTAATATTGATGAGGAACAACAGCTGAGCAAACTGAGAAAGCTGCAAATCTGGGTAACACGTTAATTATCCAGACATAAAATCGGGACAGAGGGACTAGTAGTTCGGCAAAGGGAATTAGGTTTTTGAACTTGTTAAATGACACCTTCATGCCACAACTAGAAAGGACGCTTGTCTACACCTGGTTCTAACCAATAGCGTTGATCTTTTGACCAACATTCAAGAAAATAGTGATCACAATATAGTGTCCTTTGAAATAAACTCAAAAAAACAAAAGCACGTGAGGTATACTAAAACATATAATTTTAAAAAGTCCAGTTTCTATAAGTTAAGGGCAGCTTTACAAAATATTGACTGGCATAAACTCTTTAGTGAAAAGAACACTGAGGATAAATGGAACATATTCCAACATATTGTATGTACCATTGGGTAATGGAAACAAATTGAAACCGATGTGACTTAGGAGAGAAACAAAACAAGAAATTAAAAATAACAAAAGGGCATTTAAAAAAAAGTAAAAAAAAAATAAAAAATAAAAAAATTCGGACAAATCAGCGGAATCCTATAAAAGATATAAGGAAGCCAATAATGTCTGCAAAACGGTACCGACACAACTTTACCCCTCTCCTGCAGAAAGTAACAGAGGACTTGAAAAGATGGGCGCACCCGCACATCTCGTGGCATGGGCGGGTAGCTGTTCTAAAGATGAACATTCTACCACGGCTGCTTTATCCGTTCCAAACAATCCCACTGGCCCTACCGACCACCTTCTTCTCCGCACTAAAATCTGCGGTCATACGGTACGTATGGCGAAGGGAGAGGGCGAGATTACGATTTGACTTACTCTGTCTCCCCAGGCATCGTGGTGGGCTAGCGTTGCCCGACTTCAGGAAATATCACCAAGCCACAGTCCTGCAGCGTATAATTGAGCTGCACGCAGAACCCCAACAAAAGCAGTGGGTGGCACTGACACGGGACAACCCCGACACTCCTGTGCAACCAGCCATCTGGGGAGGGGGAACCAGAAGAGCATTGCGAATAACTAACGAGGGACTACTGGAACAAACGCTATACACCTGGAACTCCATGAGAGAGGTAATCCATATCTCACCTACACCTAGTCCAATGCTTTCCATCACTCATAACAAAGAGATAGGGGGCGGATTTCCACCAGTGATGTGGCCTTTTCTGGAAGGACGTGAGTACGTTCCAATCCACACAACCTTGCGGAATGGTTCACTGCGCTCCGTGGACGCCCTATTAGAGGGACGACCACGGACGCCATTGGCAATACTCCGTTACCTACAGGTGAAGCACTACCACAATAATTTGCGGGAGAAGGAACGATTGCACAGGGATCGCACATGGTTCGAGGACTGCTGTGAGAGGAAGATCGTACTGGATAATGCTCTCTCTCTATACTTTATCAACACATCCTGACGGGGCACCTGACGGCGAATGCAATGTTCCGCAGGCAATGGGAGGAGCGGATGGACACAACCTTTACGTCACAACAATGGGATAAGGCACTTCTGTGGCAACACAAGAGCTCAGTTAGTTCTCAATATCAAGAAACGAACTATAAACTGATTACCTTGTGGTATCGGACCCCGGTTCTCCTACATAGGATCTTCCCAACTGTTGCACCTACATGCTGGAGATGCCAGAGGGACGATAATGCATATATGGTGGGAGTGCAGCGAAATAACCCCATTCTGGGATCTGATCAAACAACGAATAACAGATATACTGGGCGATGTGACGGAATGGTCGGCTGCTCTGGCCCTCCTACATATATCGCAGATGCCGTTATCCTCCTATAAGAAATCAATTCTCAGACATCTTTTGAACGCGGCCAAGTCGCTCATTCCGTTATATTGGAAACGGACGGAGATACCCAACGAAGAAGACTGGATCCGCAGGGTTGAGGATATCCAAGGGGCTGAAGCACTACAGGCATCCATACAGGACAGAGGGGACAAACATGCCAAACGGTGGTTTCCATGGATCACTTTCATATCACAAAACACGAGGAGCTAGGGCGGTGGCCTGGCGGCGCGCTGCCCTCCGGGGCAAGGCCAATGTGCACGTCCCAACATTATAACCCCCCCTCCCCCCCCCACCCACGTTCTCAGTAGAACTGGTACACCTCTGCTACCTCCTCATTCTCCCTCTCTTTTGGCCATATATCTAAACTACCACCAATGAATGGTTAAATGACCTGGTGGACCCCAACACACGCACCCGAACGAAGATGGAGGTCACAATCCGAGCTCACATAGTTAAGTGACATTGAGCTCGCTATATGTAAGGCAGAGTGCAGTACATTTCGAGAGGACATAATACTTCATTTTACCGCACCCTAATGACGTATGCTTGGTGCAACTCTAGAAAATCAAATCATGCCCTCCCCCTTTTCCCTTCTCCCTCTTCTCTCCCCCTCTTGTTACTCCTTTCTACTCAAACACTCAGTGATACACACTACCACGATAGGAACCCTAGCTCTCCTATGTGCGGTCCGCACATACGGGGATAGGCTGAGACGTTACATGCTTATGGAAAAGTGTATGTAAAATGGTTTGCATAATCTCTGATGATCTACTGGGCGAGAGCCCTATAGCTAAAACTTGGTGATAAGTTCAAGATCCTAAATTGGCTCTCTCATCTCCTCATATCCCTGTAAGGGTGTTTACTACATAACAAAAAAAAAAAAAGGAAGATATGGGGCCAACAATGGTCTAGGGATGTTGTACAATGCATTGTGATTAACGCTGTTTTGTATGGAACTCTATTGTGCCTTGTTATTACATTGTATATGCTTAAAACTTCTTCACTCTAATAAAAAGAAATTGATAAAAAAAATAATGTCTGCAAAACAGCGATTATATTCGCTAAACTTCAAAATGAAAAAATGATAGCCAAAGAGAGCAAAACCAAACCCAAAGCATTTTTTAGTACATAAATTATAAATAAATAAAAATATAATATGAAAGTGTAGGTACACTAAAAACTGGGATGGGGTTGTTCGTTAATGAAGACCAGGAAAAGGCAGAAATTTTAAATAACTATTTCTCCTCTGTATATATTAAGGAAGAACCCATGGCAATAGATGTGCAAATGATTGCTGATAAAAACTTGCAGAAAATTGTAATTGGTTAACTCAAGACAAGGTGCTGCAGAAACTAAAGAAAGTCAATATAAACAAAACTCCAGGGCCTGATAGTATTCATCCACGAGTACTTAAGGAACTAAGTGAAGAAATAGTAAACCTCTGTTTTTAATCTTGCAAGATTCTTTTCTTTCAGGAAGTGTTCTGGAGGATTGAAGGAAGGCAGATGTGGTTCCTATATTCAAAAAGGGTTCAAAATCCCATACAGATGTTCAAACAGCAAGTCGATGAATACTTGCAAAAACAGAATATTCACGGATATAATTTTTCAATGTAGGGTAATAGCTTTTTGATCCAAGGATTAATCTGACTGGCATTCTGGGGTCAAGAAGTAATTTTTTTTTACTGGTTTGTTGCAAGATTGGAAGTTCTTCAAACAGGTTTTTTGTTTTTTTTGCATTCTTTGAGGAAAGCTGAACTTGATGGACCCAAGTCTCTTTTCAGCTATGTAACTATGGTGGTAGGGGGATGATCTGGATGCCCAATACTACACTGAAAATGACCCCCCAACCCCATAGGGTTAAGTTAATCCTTTAACAAATGTTCTGTGAAGGCTAAAACAGTACTCTGTACAGATTACCAAATGACTAAATTTCTGTGTGGCAGCTACTTTTAATTTGTGTATTAAGTACACCCATATATGCAAGTTGTGAGGGTAGACCTTATGACTATAGTGATAAATCTCCCTTGACATTTCTCCAAATCCTATGTAAGAAGGATAGGTGCTAATGAGGTCTTTGTTGCCTTTTACAACTATAATTTATGCAAACAAACCACAGGTTTAGAACTTCACAAAAATCCAAGGAAGCCACATCTGACCTGGGTACTTCCATCAGGGATAATCCTTTAAACAATGGCTTTTGTGTTCACGAACTAGTTTCTGACAATTAACAGAATTGTTACAGAAAAAGTTAATTGTCTAACCCTTGTTGTAATGCATGGATATTCCCTCAAATGCGAAAGTTATATACCATTAATAAGTCATTTACAGATTGTATATTTATAGATCACTTGTCAAAAGGAAATGTAATATCATACACGCAATACATGCCCTAGAGGTTAAAAATTGTCATATTTGATATTATCCTGCACTCCTCACTGTTAAGTTGAGCAGACCAAAGAGAAAGCACTTGGAAATACAGTTCAGTCTATAGAGTAATAAACACCAAACAGATCAGATACTAGTGATGAAAAGAGTCAACCATCTCTTAGAAAGCTCAACCTATAGGCAGAATACCTAACCTATCTAACCTATAGGCAGAATTATAACAATTCAGTAATGACAACCAGTTTCACTGTGGGAATAAAAATGATCAGAAACATCGCCTGGAAAAAGGCACAATAAGCACCATAACCGTTGCAGTTCATTGAAGCAGCTAGGGGCAAAACGTTTTTAGATGCTACTCCTTGATTGTTTTTTTTCAAACTGTTCGACAAAAATTGTCACTCCTTAATAGGAATCTAAAATTCAAATACTGCTAGGTATTTCTGTTATTTCAGTAAGGCTGTATATTTACAAAAATAAAGGAGCCGACATACTATGCAATAAAACCAGAAATGGTTCAATTGCTTGCCTGTGTGGCGTTGCAAACGTTTCCAGAAGAGAAACGATGGATACTGTAATACCATACTAAATAGGCATGATTTTGGCCTATCTTGATGCAAGCAGCCAGCCAAGTACTTGCTATGTATCAGATCATACTATAGAACGCCCGCACACACTGTAGTCTATTACGTGCATGAGTTGATCGAGCTGACAGACTAAACCCTCACACCTACTTGCACTATTGTGTTAGCCATTCAGCAAAACAGGATGCTGATAATCCCATTGTGTAATGCATGCGTTTTCATCAAGTGGGAGGAAACCAACAAGTGTGAGAAAAGTACTAAACATGCCAAGCAACCACATCACAATCTCAAGTGACATGCAGAGTGACATCAGGTTTTACAGAGTGCATAGGAAAATGCTGACCGGGAGGTGCACATAGCTTAGCCAAGGTTCAAAAATAGAACACAAACACACGCCTGTGCCAAAAATGACAGGTACAACTTAGAAACACTCAACATACTGTGCACTTGTAATGAAATATTATAGCTCATGCTTCGACAGCTATATGTAAATAACTGGCTGTAATATACTCTGCCCATGGGTGCCAAATTGGCAAGAATACAGATGTTGGCATGTCCACAGAGTGCAATGGTTTCAAGAGGTTTAATTGCACAATATTGCAAGACATTCCTGTATATGCACTTTCAATATGTACATCTTCCTGGGCTGTAAACATTTGTCCAGTGCATAATAATGTTCGTTGACTTCATTCTTATTCTTCCCTGGAAGTCTTGCTGCTGTGCAATGCGGGTAACACTATGGCAGTTTGTAGTAAATAAAGCTGGTTGTAGTTAATAGCTTCAGTTTACAATTGGTAAATGTCTGAACATGATGATAAATTGCCCCTGCATCAATAACAAGGCAAATCAAATTCACATATTATGGGGCATGTTAGGCCTTTAAAAAAGCCAACATAACATAACCTGTGATTATGGCACACTGTACTTAAAGCATATAGAGACATTGTTCCTCTTAGCTTTGAAAGGCAAGTTTCTCACTATAAGAGCTTATATCCCTTCTAAATCAAATGGGTGGAACACCGCAAATATCTGAAAGACTAAAGTACATATGTATAAGCAGACCTATCCATACGGATTTGCAGAGTATATTACGTAAAGATAATGGACAGAATTCTGAACATGAAAAAATAATGAGACATATAATGTGCTTTGTAGATGCTTTTTTCTACTTTAAGATAAAGTCATTTCTGTGTCAGTCTGACAAAACATTTTTTTTTTTTACAAAAGTAAAAAAAAACAAAAAAAAACATTCCATGTACATTTGTGTTTTGTACATATGCCTAGAATGCCCCTAAATTTCATAAACGTGCACTCAAAAACAAAAGTGTGTCACCCAACATATGGTTTTCATGGCAGAGTAGAAGAAATGCATATTTTTTTTCTAAATTATATATTCTGCTCTCAAACCATAGTTTTTAGAATATGTGATATATTATGATGAAATTATGATAAATACATGCGACCAGCTTTGATTATGTGCTTTGTTGACTTTGGCTCTTATAGGACAGATAGTTATAGATAAAAGCCATAATCAGAAAGGAAAGACGTCCCCAGTCCAACAACATAAGGAGAAGGGAGGGATGGTTTTACAATATTCATTCCTAGCTGCTCAGAGATCCAACAAGCACAATTTAGTTTGCAAGACAGACATACCAGCAGATAACAGACAACACCCAAAGTATGCAAACCACTTATTTACTAACCTTTAACAGAACCGTTAATTCCTAGAGAATATATGGCCACTTTATCAATTTTTAAAATATTAATAATCTTTGACACAAATATCATTGCAATTTCTAAAACAGTTTGATTTTTTTTTTCAACCAAGAATAAAAGAGCATGCTAAGTACCATAACTACTACCGTGTGTTGTAATTGTTATGGTGCCAGGAGGGCAGTTTGACTTCTTACCTTGGGACCGTGGACACCACTCCCTGGCTCCACTATAGCCTGACGCTCTCAGTTCTGAGTGGCAGCGCAAGGCTTACACTGTTGGCTGAGAATCATGAGCTGACACTCTCAACTAACGAATTGGCCTCGCTTATGAGCTTCATGTAAGCTGTAGCGAGGTGAGGAGCATCCTGCAAACCCCCCAGTAAAAAAAAAAAAAAACACCACATTCTAGAACAGCTTACATTACGGATGTGCCAGGGCACCCTTGACACCATAGCCACTACAGTGCACTGTTCTGGTAATGACTTTTTTTTTTTTTTTTAAATGCATATAATAATGGTTATTTTAATGAACATACAAATCTACCTACAGATTAGTAACAAACACCCAGAAAAGGGCGGCTGGCATAAAGAAAATTAGTGCCACAGGTAACCAAACATTTCTGGTGGCAAAATGCAAACAGTAAAGGTTCTCAATTGGCAGCGCCGCCACCCACCTCCGCACAGGCCGGCAGCGCCGCCACCCACCTCCGCACAGGCCGGCAGCGCCGCCACCCACATCCGCACAGTCCGGCAACGCCAGATAAAATGCCATGCATGGCCCTGTTACTGAAGCCAATACCCCATCTGGGTAACTCACCATTGCCTACTGCACTCTAAATGTTGTGTACTACACGTCCCATGATGCTTTGCCAGCATTATTGCTTTAATAACATTATGGGATATGTAGTCCAAAACATCTGGAGTGCCGAATATTGCCTACCCCTACATTATGCCATTTAAATCGGCTCAGTCTACACCAGCAACTGAAACATTGGGTCCTGAGACACACACTAAACCCATCCGGAGTCCTGGCCACCCCGCGGCCACGAACGGGTTAACTCCGGGCCACCCCGCGGCCACGAACGGGTTAACTCCTGGCCACCCCGCGGCCACGAACGGGTTAACTCCTGGCCACCCCGCGGCCACGAACGGGTTAACTCCGGGCTCCCGGCCCCTAATGGAGTCCATACTCACGATGCATTCCCTAACCCACTCGTGGAAGAGCTGCTCTCTAACCGACACATCTTGCTCCGCTTCCATCATCCGGCAGCATGGCGCCCCCGAGCTCTGCCGCAGCCGAGCAGAGAGAGTCGGTGAGTGTGCGCGAGGCGCCCCGTGTACGTGCGCGAGCTCCTCCGTGACAGCGAGCGGCGATCTGCAGAGCCAGCGCTCCAGTAACAGGAGCTCTCCTCGGGCTCCACTGGCCCCGCCCACTCCTCGCAACACAAATCAAACTGCGTCACGTCCCCTATTGGCTCAGGGGTTAGCCGAGGCCGGCCTCTGATTGGTGGAGGAGGGAGGATGATGCACAACTTAACGGTTGGTCATAGAAGTTACAGTGGGCGGGGCTAGCTGATCACTACCTGGAAAGCAGGCAGTAATGGGGACTGAGTGTAAAGGCTTCTGTTTATATATATACATTGTATTAGGGATTCCCCTGTGTATTCCCTGATGTGTGACAGTATATTCCTTACTTACTGGGCCACTTCATTTTATTTTGCTGTGCCATTCTGGTTCATTTATTTGTAGTTCATTTATTCCGCTAGCGTCATATTGGTGGGTGTTCTGTGACTGACTGCGTTCATGTCCATCCTTTTTGTTTAAGGAATAAAAAAATCCTTAGATTTGCAAATGTTTCTGTGACTGAGCTCCCTTACGCTAAATGAGTATCTGAGTACCTCCGCCAGGTCAGCTTCCTCGCTGCTACCAGGGGCTCTGCAGCGCCTCACACCCGTCACCAGGTCCATAGTCTGTGGGAAAGAGGTTTTTCTTTCAAGCCTCTCCAAAAGTCCGTGGCATGGGAACTTCTGTCACAGCGTCTTTTTCTTTCTTACTTAAAAATAATTTGTCTTTGTTTCCAGCGGAGTCGGAATGGGGGTGTGACTGGGCTAGACACTTGTGTGTCCCCAAAAGATCTAAAATATGCACACTATTATTTAGCCCTGTAGAATATTGCATATTCTATGTTTCTATTGATTATATATGGATATGTGGATTGACTATATATACAAAAGACGTATATATATCAATCAGCTGAAGACAAGAACAAATTAAGAAGATTTAACAGTGACAATCAATACGACTGATTCCAAGCTACATTTTACAACCCCCAAGTACGTGGACTGGCCGGGGACTATGTGAGCAGTGCAGATGTTACTTACTGGAAGTCCTAACACTCTGTAATCATATGCTAGAACCTTAATGATTACATAACGTTGCTGCGGTGGAATTGAGGAGGGCAAAGGGACAGTGGACATGTCAGAGGACTTATTAAATGTGTGTAATTTGTGACCGTTTATAAAAGTGCAGAGTTTAATAGAAATCAGCACATTTATAATTTGGGGGGAAGAAACTCCACAGCGAGGGAGGTTTTCTTCCACTTCCGTTTGCTAGAGCACACTGCCTTACCCCATTCTCATTGACCTGCATTACCGCACATTGAAAAGCACCGCACAGCCCCAAGCGTGGGTACGCACGCACCATCGAGGCTCCAGTACAAATGGCTTCAGCATGGTATCACAGGTAAGCTTTTACTTTATTTGTTTAGATTTTTCTTTTATGAGGGGCAAGGGCCCATGGCAGCAAGGGTTAGTTACTCCAATCAAAAACAGTGTTTTCTCAAAACACTATTTTTGGAGTAACTATTTAAATTCTCTTTGAATATTTAACAGAATTATTCATTGAATTCTGAATTGGAGTAAACTGATACCTAAATGGCAAAATTTGTGCTAAATAAGTCAAGCCTCCAACTCAGCTATTATTAATATTGCAAGTAGAATGTAAATTCAGATTAATTTGGAGCTTAGTGTGTAACACAGCTAGTCTCTGACATTTCTTAGTATATTCATATATATCACTTAAAATCGAAGCTGGTGTTGACGCATAGTTTATTTCAGTTAATTGCTTTTTTATAAGAAATGCTAGTAACTTTCAACTTGGTTATTTTGTCTGAGTGCATGCATGTGATCTGTGTATCTGTTTTTCTGGGTTTCAGAGATTAGAAAAGCTATACACTGACACACGCAACAAAAAATTAATGAATTAGCCATGTTTTTAGGTTTTTATAAAAGCAGATGATATATATCAAATGTTAACTCCCTCTTCCCTTCCCCCTCCTACTCCAAAATCTTATCATTTCCTGTTAGCCTTAATAGCTGTTAGAAAGAGGCATCTTTTTACCATTTGTAAGACCATGTGTGGAAGGAAACAACAGGATGGGAAGGTCAGAAAGAGTGGGCTTATGAACTGATTTGTATTTATTAAAAAAGGTGGAACAACTAAAACAGCCTACATAGAGAAATGGAATTCATGTGATCATGATCAGCAAGGGCATGTATCTGTCAGGAAGAGATATTTGGAGGGGGGTCTCGGTTTTGTCATGCCTAGGGCAGCACAAACCCATAATACACCACTGATCATGACACATGCTAATGCACATTTGTGGGTAGCACTAAATTGCAAACCTCACAATAATTTCACTAGCTGATGGGACACAGCGATGTGAATTTTTAGTGTAGGACCCACCTACGAGATTTGCGTTGACATGGCAGGTGAGCTTATCCTTGACTTAAGTGTAATTGGAGTGATACTAAAAACCTTAATTTATTTAATGTACAACAGGATAGTACAAAGGTAACTTTTTTGCCCCCCAAGAGTAGTGGGACTTTGAGTGAACGGCTTAATTGTTTTTTTTTTTTTTATTCACTACAGTGTGAATTGTCAGGAATTCAATGAGAATTCAAAGTGAATTTAAAAATTTAGGCCATTATATTCGAACTGGAAACATAGAGAATAATTTATTATTCATCTACTTTGGTTTAGAATTTGCAGTTCACTTTGAATTCAGGTTATAAAAACATAGACGACCAAGTTAATAGCTGATCCCAAATACAAAAAAGAAAGAAAAATAACATTGCTTAACCTTGTCAAAACAAAGACGCTTGGTGGGGATCTCCAATCCCATGTACAATCAAAAACTAGTTGGCAGAGTATTTGCACCCCTCTGTAAATACTCTTTAAAACATTGTCATGTTCTGTTGGAGAAAACTGTTTTCAGACAGATACTCACTTTGAATTCACCATTTTACAAGTCCCATTTTAATGAATAACCACGTCTGGTGTTTTTCCACTAAAAAAATTAAGAGTCAACGAGGAAATTGAAAATTGAAAAGGTGCCCTTCTCCCCTATCCACTTAGAAAATAACAATTTATTAATATTGCAGAGTCCCGTCATCCTCTACAGCAGGGTAGGTGACCTTGTTTCCCAACAACTAATGGATTAAAATGATGGAAAGTGTCCAGTAACTGTAACTGAGGAGACATAGTTCCATAAACGCAATGGTACTTCTCATATGGTTATCTTCTGATTACATGTGATAGAATCAGGAACAGTCACCTGCACAACAGGTATTGTGTACTTGGATCATAGCTTTACTATGTGAATCCAATTGTGGCATGTATTACAATATGCAAAGTAAGGATGATTGATCAGGGAAACCTGCACTACAAAGATGGAAAGCATTTTGCACTTCCTATTACAAATTAAGAAATTATAGCATATATTATCTGGATAGGAAATTGTGACTCATTAAAATTAAATGCCTTTTGTTAGAATAGTAACACCCAACTGACAGGTATGATATTCTCCTAGACTTGCTTTCAATTAAGCTACATTCCTAGGTCCAAGTGAGTGACGTAATTAAGCACGTGCAAACAGTGAGGGTTGTAGTGATTGCATTTTTGGGATTGCCTTAGAATAATAGCAAATTTAAATCCATTTATTAAATGGAATATAGTGTATGAAGGTATAATTCAAGGGCATTGCTAGGAATTTTTAAATATACATTGGAATTAAGTTGTTATGGTGCCAAGAGGTCCCTGGCATAGACTTTCTTTTAGGAGTTAAACCTAACCGTTCATCCCCAAAATTTTGAATCCAGTGTCATTTAGCTTTGCCACTGTCCTTTCTCTGCTCTCAGATTTTTGAAACAAGAAGCCTTGGATTTGCGCAGAGAGGGGCACCACTGGTTGGCAGAGTATCAGCTAACGCTCTAAGTCAATCAGTAGCTATGCATTCACAAAACGTCTTGAAAAACGCACATGTTTCTCTAAAGCCATCTGAGTTAGTCCAATGCTTCGTGTTTCAAGAATCAAAGAGAAGCAGAAGGGCAGGGACAGGACTAAAAGTTTTGGATTTAAGACTTTTGGGTTAAACTGGTCGTGGACCTCCTGGCACCATAACAACTTTATTCCAATTAAACTGTTATGTTGCTCTCAGAGTGTTCATTTAAGTCAATATATGATGGAAGGGGCCACACAATTTAACATTGACCTGAAGCTCCTGGTGTTTTGCCGCCTAGCGACCATGCAATAAGACAAGGAAATAGTAGGAACTTTTCTACAACTTGATTTTTTTTTTTCAGCTTGGCTGATTTGGCCTCAGATTGGTATTCCTTCACCAGTTCTCTAGAACTCCGTGTTAATTGAATAAATACATATAATATGGCTCTACTGTGATTAACAGTTTGTGAGACACATGCATTAAAAATGTAGACATAAGTGTCCAGCAGAGCAGTGGTTAAGTCAAGTTTGAGACAGATTGACCTAATTGATCAGACTCAGCTGCAATGTAGATTGCCTCATTAGATGTTATAAAGGGACAAAGCTACCACTCAGACTTCCCCATCTAGCCCTTAGGGAATCAGGAAAGGCCCTACTGGGCTACAAATCACAAGGTTTTAGTTTTTTTTCCCTTTTTCATTCTGAATGTTTTTTATGCTGCTGGGTTTAGGAGGCTAAAAGGCAGTCATTTGTCCCTAAGGAACTGGGGACATTAAAGAACATTTGGCTTCCTACAAATGTCAGTCCAGCTCAGAATATAATTTTTTTTAAAGGGAACATGTCCTTTGCTCGTATTGATATAAACATTACATGTTTATGCAACCCTGTTCTGGACTAAAAACACTAATCCTGGATTTCAAAGTGAATTAAAATTTTCAGTTAAAAAAAACTGAAAACACAGATGACATGGAAGCATTTCAAATTCAGGTATTGTGGCCTAAAAGGTAAAATTCACTTTTTATTCCTGACAGTACATACTTAACCCCTTAAGGACACAGCTTCAGAAGCTTGTCTTACGCTTAATGACACAAGCAATTTTTGCATTTTCTTGCTGTATGCGTTCAACTGCAATTTGCATCTCTCTCG